CCTAGGGTTCTACCTATGGGTCTCGGATGGGTTAAAGGTTGAGGTATAGGTTGTTATGGTTTGGGGTGCTAGGGGGGAGTGCATGGTTAGAAAATAGAAATGGTCATCACTAACTTCAGGGCCTCCCAGCTCCAAGCCCCTCGCAAAAGCCGCCATGGAAGCCGCATTTCTTCCTTTCTGCAACAGCCTCAGCCCTGTACTCTAGGGATAGATCCTACACTGTCCTACATTTTGCATGAAGAAGTCCTCAAGGGGTCCAAGCCGGTCTGTATGTGCCAGTACTTGCTGCCTACATCCCCTTTGCAGAACGGTTTGTTTACAGTTACTTCAGGCTCGGCGTTCAGGGTTATTTTTTTTCTGTCGGGTTTGTTTTTCCTGCTCCAATCCGTTTCAGACGAAGAGCGTGAGCGTGCAGCTCTCCGACGGAAAGGATTGAGTAGAGTGAAATGTACATGTACAACGTAGCGACGTGCTGATATGTGCATAGACAGGAATGGACGGCATACACAGCAGATTTGACTCCTTTAACTCTGGATGCACTCAAGACTCAAAAGCGCCTTTCGAGGGGTTCCCGATCTGCTCGCGACCCCTGGAGCCGCTCTGTGCCGCCGCTGGCGAGGGACGTGTGGAGGACCTGAGGCGCAGCGGAAGAGAAGGGACGCGCACGCGGAGCGCGACGCAGAGAGACAGAGAGGGGCGCGCAGACAGCAGATTGGGTGTGGAAGAGTCTTGGAAGCTTCTGCTGGCATCGGGCAGGCGCTTCCTTTCGGCTGAACCCTACGGAGTGGCAGTGGCGGCTCGTGACATTCAGGGCCGCGGGTGCCTGGCTGCATAAGGGTCTCAGGATTTCGGAGAATGATCGCTAGTTACTTTGCGCTGTCCACATCTTTCCGGGTACGATACACAAATGTGCAGGGCACTGGAAATAGCTGCAGCTGCTGGCCACTTGGACTGCATCGTCTGGATCGTCGAGGCACGGTGCACAAAGGGGGTTAATTTGGAGTGGAGAGTGGATAGCCACCACTTGTCCTGGTGAACAAGGGAACGGTATAAGTAAAGACGCACTACTTCAAAGTTCTGCTGCTGGTTCAGGCACTCATGTCATTTGTTGAATAAGTGGCCGCTTGCTCAGACTTTTGAAGGAGCCTGCGGCACAACCTGCTCTCGCAACGGCTTTTAAGCGACCTGTGGCAGGCTGGAGCGGATGCTGCTGAAGCATTGGACAAGTGCCGGGATAGGCGCAGATGCGTGCTTGTCGAGCCACGGAAGTACTGGACACACCTTGCAACGGAACAGCAGTGGGTAAGAAAAGAGTTGCTGAGACTCCCCGGTTTGCAACCGTCTAGGCCTGTGCCAGTTCAAGCTTCCCGGCTCTGTACGAAAGGGTTCTTCGGTCCTTCGGCCAGGCTGCCCCCCTTAAGCAAGGCTTGCTTGCAACTGTAACTGCGAAGTTGGGTGCCGAGTCTTGTTCAGGTCTTCAAATAGCTTTCGGATTCCTTCGAGGGTTTGCGGAGGTTTGCGCAAGAAGCGTGCGGGCACTGCAGTGTAGGGAGCGCGTTGGCCAGGGGCGAGTCTTTGGGACAGGCAGCCGTGCTCCTCGCAGCTTTGGCAGGGTGGCTGGGCAAGTTGGATGTTGATTTATGTTGATAAATTTGTTGAAGCATCCACGACCTAAGTAGCAGCTGACGCGAGTGTTTGAGCAAAGATGTGTCCCGCTGCTAGGTATACAAGTCACAGGTCCGAAGTCCCCTCCTCTCCCGCCTAGGCTTGTGATACAAAGCCCGAACATAGGATGGATTCTTCCAGTGCAGAGCTCAGAGCAGTGCTTCGGAATTCGGGTCGAATGCAGGGGGCCTGGATGGTTATCCATAATTCCTTCACTTGCTTAGTACATCCATACAACAATACGCACCAGAGCCCTGTTCAAATTCCTGTTCAAACCTTAGCTGCTTTGTGCGATTAATACGAAACGGAAACAAACAACCCAGAACAAAGCCAAACAAACCGTAAATTAATTATGCGACATTTGTGGCTCAACCCCCTTAGCCTTACACCCTTAGCCCTTAATCCTAGAATACCCTTCAAGACCTTTACAAAACCGTCAAACAGGGCGGATTCGCACAAAACAAGGGAAGAACAACAAAGGGAAAAAAAATGTGAAAGAGCCAGCATTGCAGATGCTTTGCACATATGCATGTGTGTGCGTGTGGCTCATGACCAGGGATCCCTTTTAGTTGCAAGCAAAAAGGGCGCGCTACCCCTCAGCTTCCGCGCCGTCGGCAGCTGTTTGATGGTAAGCGGAGCCGGCGTGCTCGCTGGCCTGCTGTCGTGCCGGAAGGGCACTTCGCGATCCCAGGACCCCGGCTTCTACCTCGGCGGCAGAAGCCCGACACCTTTTCTTCTACGTGCCCGCCTTTGTGCCGGCACTCCGTGCCTTTAAGCCCCCAGCGCCTTCGTGATGAACTTTTCTGGGGCCAGGCTGCAAGTCGACCGCTATGGTGTGCCACAATACGCCGGCGACCCGGAGGCTTTTGAAGAGTATGTGGAAAGGGCGTGGGACCTTTACCATGGACGCTCCGGGTCGGACCAGACACAGCTCGCTACAGCTGTGCACCTCCGCTCCGGTCTCACAGGTTCTGCATATGAGGCGGTGCGCCTGCTGAAGCACACGGACCTGATGACCGAGGACGCGCAGAAGAAGCCCACGGCCAAGGGAACTCAGCTCCTGCTTGATACCCTCAAGGAGGCAATAGCAGCAGAGCAGCCAGTGAAGGTCAACGAGCTCTTCCTGAACTGCTTCTACAGCCCGGCCGTGTGGCGCCGCCCCGCCGAGAACATGCAGCAGTATATTGTCCGGCGTGAACAAGACTTCAAGAGGCTGGAAGACGCTATCTCCGGAGGCTCCGTGCCGGAGAACATACGAGCAATGATGCTGCTGCAGTTCGGCGGCCTTGACGCCCGGGAACAAAACAACGTGCTGGCCTCCGTTGGCAACTCCTACGACTTCAAGAAGATCGCCCACGCGATGCGGATGCAGTACCCGCATGCCAGCGGAAAGCCGGTTGTGAGAAGGGACTTCCTGGGCAGCTCTCGCTCGGCACCTCCTCCCAATGCCTACCAGAGACCGCCGAAGGGGTATGGGAAGGGGCGCCGATCTACTGTGCTCGTTGCCGAGACCCACGACGAGGACCTGCCCGAGGAGGACGGCACCGTCTATGATGAGACCTACGAGGCCACCGAGTATGACCCCGGCGGCCAGCCTGAGGACGAGGAGGAGCTCTACGACAGCTGGGTTCAGGAAGCGGACCTCGAGGACCCTGATGTCGCCGAGGCCCTGGCCACCTTGGCGCAGAAGAAGGGCCAATGGAAAGGGCCCAGCAAAGGAGCTCCGGCCGGATCTTCTCAGGCCTTTCCCTTTAAGGCCTCCGGCGAGCTCTCCTTCGACCAAAGAGCAAGAGAGTCTAAGCGGCAGGCGGTGCAGTTCCTCAAGTCTGTTACCCCCTGTACGGCCTGTGGTCAGAAAGGCCACTGGCAGGGAGATGAAGCTTGCCCGAAGAAGAAGCCGGGTAAGCAGGGCGGCTCAGCCAAGGGGAAGCGCAAGGCCGCCCCTAAGAGAGGACCTGGCAAGACCACCTATTTCGTGCTGCACCCCGATCTTGAGGAGAGCGACCAGGTTGCCCAGGCCCTCTACGTCAGCCCCCGGGACAGCGCGAGCGGCACGGACCCCGACAACGACAAGGACCGTGTCCGGTTTTCCAATGTGAGGGAGCACTGCGGCCCGGCAACGGAACACGAGGTGTATGTGAACCTCCGGACCAATCTCTGCAGCCACTCCTCCGCCAAGGGAGGCCGCGAGAAGAACTACCACAGGGCAGCCAACGGCCACGCAAGGAGCGTCATGTGCAAGGAGCCAGAGTGCGACAGGGCCGTGATCCAGGCCCGCCGGAGGGACGCTGCCTCTCTGTGGTCCTTCTTGGTGCAGGTTGCCTTGTGCACGCTCTGGGGCGCCAAGGCAAGGTCCAGAGCCCTGTTTGCAAGAGTCGGCCAGGTACGTGCCGAAGCCCTTTCGGAACGAGAAGCTGAGGCCCTGGACAGGACAAGGCGGTATGATGAAGAAGCCCGGGCCCAGCGACCAACACTTGGGCATGATGGTGGCTATGGGGCCCTCCATGATGACGGCTCCCCGGGCTCGGTCTGGCGGCTCGTCACCCTACCTTCTTCTTCGGCTTCGCCTTCGGAGGCCCCACCAGTGGCGAGGATTGTGCGGCCCGAGCTCCAGCCCGTGCGCGCTTGGGTTTATGGAGTTTGCCTTTCGCCAGGTGTTGATCTGCCGCGGTTTCCAGAACTTGCTGCCGAGGACCAGGACATCTTGATGCCGCTCCCGACCGAGGCCTCCCTCTGCGGCTCGGAGACACCCTTTTGCGGCATGACCTTTGAGTATGTGAGCTCGAGCCCAGAGACCTCATGGTATTGTTCTCAGATTATGTCCTTTGCCCTCGGCAACAACCCAATGCATCCTGAGGTCTACCGGCTCGCCTACTTCCTCTACTGCAAGCTCAAGGTGCTACGAGACACCATGGTGCATATACATGGTGCAGCGGACCCTCGCGAAGGAGGGAAAAGAGGACTCTTGCCGGGAGACATGGTTACCAAGAGGACCTTGAGAGTTCCGGTGTGCATGGACCCCACGCACCCCGAGGCTATAACCGCTCAGGATTGCGAGGTGATGGTACAGGACGTTGCAAGTGAGCCCTCGGAGCGCGAAGGCGAGGTGAGTCCAACGACGTGGGTGCCTGAATCTTTCGCCACGGCCCCTGAGGACCCACCTGGACTTGCTATTTTAGACTCTGGCTGCACCCGAACGATGCACGGAAGCACCTGAGCCCAGGCTTTTGAAGAGCGACTTTGTGAACTTGGGCTCGCCGTGCACACTGTTGAGAAGAAGCAGCGGTTCAGAGGCGTTGGCGGCATGTCCCAGAGCACCGTGACCAAGATTTTTCCTATTGGGATAAAGGGTGTGCACGGTGACCTCTACAGTGCAGAGGTGGAGGGCAGCCTGCCCCTCCTCTTGTCGAGGCCCTTCATGCATGAACTTGGGGCCGTGCTCGACCTGGGCGCCAACACTGTTTCCTTCACCGGCCTAGGTGTGATGGACTTGCCCCTGGTGAAGACGGCCAAGGGCCACATCGCCGTGAACCTCCTCGACTTTGACGAGGGCAAGCTTGACGAGTTTGACGACGGCCCCCCTGACTTCGGCCATGTCCATGCTATCTTTGCGGCAGACTCTGACGTGGAGCAGTTCCCCGCGCCCTCGGGTGACGGGCCGAACGGGCTTGCCGAATGGATGCAGGAAGCGTGTGCAGAAGCCGAGGAGCGCGGGGCCGGCCAGTGGACCAATGAAGGTGACGTTTCCGAGGAGTTCGGCTACTTTTCCTCGACCGTGAACGGGGACCGGCAAGTCCTGCGCAAGGCCTCTTCTAAGAAGAGCAAGAAGCTCCTGACCATGTCTGCGAGCGTGGACGCCCACGACACCTTGAACAAGCACGTCCTTTGTGGAAGGAGCCGGCCGGAACACCGACCACCGTACGGCAAGGTGTGGCTAAAGCAGGTCTTTGCGTTGCATGCCGGCGTCTCTGTGCTTTGTGTCGCCCTTGGTCTGGCCATTGGCGTCCCCCTTGACTTCGCGGCGGCCGGGTGGAACGCAACAACCTCTGATGGAAGGCGACAGTTGCACCGGGACCTTCGCAGCGAGGACCCCTACCTCTTGGTGATCACTCCGCCGTGCTTGTCTGACGGTTCTTGGGACACCTTTAGTTTGACGGGCCCCCGGCCAGCCGCCCTGACACCGGCCAAGCTCAGTGAGGTGCAGGGGAAGATCTTTGAGTTGGTAAACAAGCTGGTCAAAGAGCACGTGGGCTCGCGGCGCCATGTGCTGCTAGAGTTGCCCAACGCGGGCTGGAGGGACCACCCGGCTATGAAGGACGTGGTTGCCATGCTTTCCTCTGGCGAGCTCGAGCTGCTGTTCCGCCCGGGGACCTCCCTGCTTACTTCTATGGTTACGGCAGCGAGTGTTTTCGGGGACAGCCAGCACGATGGCGACTTTGACAAGGTAGCCTGCGATGCTATGGTCCAACAGGCCGCGGTTGAGCAGCACGTCTTTGAAGGAGCCACGGCTGCCAAGGAGGCCTTTCCAGTTGAGGCCCCACCGGACGAACCACCAGGAGGCAACAAACGCCGCAGACGCCCCAACGAGCAGAAGGCGACGACCGAACTCTTGGCGAACTTGCTGGTCTTGACCCCGAGGAGCACGACGATGCCGGCGAGAGAGCCCGACAGGTCGAGCAACTCGAGCCAGAGTTGTCGATTCCGGAAGCAGACCGGCGACGCCTATGGTTGGATGTCGAACCCCGCCTTCGCAAGGTACTTCGAAACCTCCACGTGCAGTTCGGACACCCTACGAACACCACGCTGCAGCGAATCCTTCGACGACAGGGTGCCAAACTCGAAGCGATCAAGGCCGCAGAGCACCTATCCTGTGACGCGTGCGGGGAGTCGATAAGGAGGCGAAGGCCCAAGCCAGTGCGCCTCCCGGGGAGGTACGAATTCAACTACCACCTCTCCTTGGACGTTTTCTATGCTAAGGACGCGGAGATGGCCCTCTACGCCTTCTTGAATATCGTCTGTGAGGCCACTGGGTTCCAGGTGGTTTCCTGCTTGGGCCAATCGCAGGGCCCCCCTTCAACAAAGGCGGTTCTACGGCACTTCCTCACTTCGTGGAGCTCCTGGGCGGGACTACCCTCTTCGGTCCAAGTGGACCGTGGAAAGGAATATCTTGCTGCCTTTGCCGACTACCTCAGGCAGTACGGCGTCGAGCAAGAAACGATGCCCTTGGAGGCTCCCTGGAAGCAGGGCCGCGTGGAGAAGGCAGGAGGTCTTTGGAAGGAGGTCTTCAAGAAGGCGGTTCATGAGATGCAGCTGGTGGGGCTCGACGATGTGATTCTGGCCACCACCATTGTGACTCAGTGTCGCAACTCCTTCCCGCGAACCTCAGGTTATGCCCCGAATCAGTGGGTGCTTGGCCGGCCCCAGATTCGACTGCCAGGCTCTCTGCTACAGGACAGCGAGCGGGAGAAGCTCGAAGTTCTCGAAGGAGCCGAGAGCCCAGACAGTGCGATGGCAAGGTCGCTCGGCATCCGCGAGGCGGCGAGGGTGGCACAGGTGAGGATGGACACTGACGGTCGAGTTCGCCGTGCCCTCCTCCACCAGTCGACCCCGACGCGTGGCCCATTCCCTGTCGGTTCCTACGTGTACTTCTACCGTGCACAAGCTCCCCCTGGTGCTTCTCGACTTTATCGCTGGCACGGACCGGCCCGAGTGATAGGAGTGGAGCTGAGGAATCACCGCCGGGCAGAAGACCCAGAACTGCCAACAGATGGCGGCCAACCGCACTCTTATTGGCTGCGCTATGGTGCCGCCGTTGTTTTGGTGACAGGTGAGCAGCTTCGCTTCGCCTCCGAGGACGAGCTGTTGGCGGCACACGCGATACCACAGGAGGCCCTGGAACCACCCTACGCCCGAGGAGCCCGGAACTACGTGGACCTGAGAAACCAGGCCATGGGTGGAGATGCCCCTGCACCTAGCGGAGAACCTTCTCCACTACCACCACCTGGCTCGGCACCTGTCCTCCTGCCGGGGACCAACCTACCAGTGGTTCGTTCTTTGCTTCCTCCTGTTCCTGAAGTACAAGACGATGGAGGTTTACTCGACGAGCTTGGCGCAACAGTTCCTCGAGATTCCCAGCAAGACCAAAGGACGGGTGGGGCCACAGCTTCAGATATGGAAGGTGCGCAGGACCAGACCAGCGCAGGCGCAACAGTTCATCGAGATTCCGAGCAAGACCAAAGGACGGGTGGGGCCTTACCTTTTTCAAGCACTGCTGTCATCAGGAGACCGTCTGTCCATGAGCCAGAGCCACAGCCGATCGTCACGACACCCATGGTCACACCCACTGTGGACGTACCCATAGCACCTTCTGATCCTGTCTTCGGTGAGCCCCAGGTCCCGATACTGGCACCTTCTCCAAGCGGGGCACCAATGACGATGGGCTATGCACCGGTTCGACCAGAGAGGGGTCCAGCAGAAAGGCCTTACTTTACAGAGGACATTCCTCACGAGTGGTACTGTCCTACCTTGCCCGAGCATGTGCGCGAGTACAACCTTAAGAAGTTCGCCGAGGCCCTAGGCGACGAGCAGGACGAGAGCGACTTCGAGACGGACGGCTGCTACGACGTTCCCGCCGATGCCTTCTTGACGGGAAAGGCGGTGCGCTCCGAGATCAAGCTCAAGGACCTTAGCCAGGAGGACCGGGCTAAGTTTGATGAGGCTATGGCCAAGGAGTGGTCATCTTGGCAAAAGTTCGGCGCCGTGGAGACCTTGACCCCGCAGCAGATCGCCGCGCTCCCGCCCAACACGAAGATAGTTGGGACAAGGTGGGTGCACACCGATAAGAACCAGAAGCCCCGCCTGTTGGCCGGCCACATCTCGAAGAAGACCGGCAAGTCCAAAAGCCAGCTCGAGAAGGAGTACCCGTTTATGCCAAAGAGCCGGCTTGTGGTGCAGGGCTGCCAGGAGGAAGACCCTGGATCTATCAGGTCCGATTCCCCTACGGCCTCCCTGCTTGCCTTCAATCTCCTCTGCGCCATTGCGGTGATGCAGAAATGGGTTATTGCGGCCAGCGACGCCTCTACAGCCTACTTGCAGTCCCAGGGCATCAACAGGCTGCTGATTCTTCGGCCGCCACGACCACCACCGCCTGGAGTCTCTCCCTCCGACCTTTTTCGTGCAAAGGGTTCCATATATGGAACAAAGGATGCAGGGAGGTCGTGGTGGAAGAAATTGTTCCGAGCCCTGCGGCGGCAAGGCTGGGTGATGTCCAAGGTCGAGGCGGCCCTCTTCTTCTTGTTCGATGCCGGCACCCTCGTTGGCATCTGCCTCAGTCACGTCGACGACCTGTTGAGTGCTGGCGAGGGGGAGAAGTACGAGGGCACCCTGACCAAGCTCGAGACAGAGCTGCATCTGAAGGTGCAGCGTGGCATGTTCAGGTTCTGTGGCAAGAACTTGGAACAAAAGGGGCAGGACATCGAGGTGGACCAGTTCGACGCGATCGAGGGCGTCGACTACCTGTTGCTGGAAAAGGGGCGGCGAAAGCAACCGAACTTCCCCTTGTCCGAGGAGGAAAAGTCGCAGTTCCGCGGCCTTATCGGACAGATGGGCTGGATTGTGAGGCAGTCCAGGCCCGACCTCATGGTGAACGTCAGCATGGCGGCCCAGACCCTCGGACACCCCTGCGTTAAGGATGTCGTCGACCTGAACAAGGCTGTGAAGATGATGAAGGAGACGGCTGACGCAAAGTGGTGTTTCCGTGGCTCCTCGCTTTCGCTTAAGGAGTGCCAGGTGGCGTGCTTTGCTGACAGTTCCTGGGCCAACCTCGACGGCCTCAAGTCCCAGTGCGGCTACGTTGTGTGCCTAACCAGCTCTGCCATCCTCGAAGGCGGCCTCACTCCGATTCTCATTTTGGAGACATATAGTGGGACCATCAAGAGGGTTTGCAGAAGCACCTTGGCGGCTGAAGCCAATGGCTTCCTTACTGGTGTGGAGAGCGCCGAGTACGTGAGGGACCTCCTGTTGGAGATCACCAACCCAGGTGTTAGGTTGGTCGACCTCGACCGCCACTACCTGAAGAGACGTATCTTGGCCTTCACGGACGCCAAGAGCTTGGAGGCCACGCTCAACCGAGACACCGGTCAACCTCAGGACAAGCGAGTGCGAATTCTGGTGGCCCAGATCAAGGAGATCCTCGGCGAAAATCTATATGATGATGAAAGCTCAAGCGCCTATGCTGTTTGGGTTGATACCTCCCAGATGCTCGCGGATGTCCTGACGAAGATTGGGTGTGAGCGTGAGCCCATACTCGAGGCGATGCGCACTGGACAGTGGCGACTGGAACCGTACGAAGAGGCCCGCCTGCGGAAGATGGCCATCCGAGCAGGTCGTGCAGCTCGCAAGGCCAAGCAAAAGAGCAGTGGCGAAACCTCGGCTGTATAGGCGTGTACAGATGTCGAGAAAACCCGCTTTTGCTCTGTATCCTGGCATGAGCCAAGGACGGGTGTGAAAGAGCCAGCATTGCAGATGCTTTGCACATATGCATGTGTGTGCGTGTGGCTCATGACCAGGGATCCCTTTTAGTTGCAAGCAAAAAGGGCGCGCTACCCCTCAGCTTCCGCGCCGTCGGCAGCTGTTTGAAAAAATATCTCCACCCGTTCCTGACGGGACGGCACTTGTCCAGCTGCAGCTCGGGAGGCGGTCCCCAGATCAAGCCGCGTTGAGGCCGTGGCGGTACTTCGAAGCGCTTTGTTGTCAAAGAGGTGCCATTGTGTTTTCGTGAAAGGGCCCTGCTGGCGGGCCTTGCGCCCCAAGAGCGCCACGCAGCGGAGGCCATGGCGGCTGCACGGCGGCGAGGCGCAAATCGCACATGCGTCCACGCAATGGGTACATAGCCCTGCTTTGCGGATGAGGGGTAGGCCGGCAGGTATGCTCGGACAGGGGCTTAGGCGATGAGCAAGACAGGATCCAGAAATGAAGTGTGCAAGCTGCAGCCAGGTGTTATGGCAAAGGATGACCTACTCGAGGCCATGGAGGAGGCGGCCCGAAAATTGGACGGAATACAGGGATACCTCGTGCGCAAGTTGGTTGCAAACGACAAAGCTTCGAACACGTGTGCATGTGTTCACATGGTATGTGTCAGTAAGTCTGTGTGTTTGCTTGTTTGTTTGTCTGTCCGTCGGTCTGTCCGTCCGTCCGTCCGTCTGTCTGTCTATTTACTTGCATCATTCTGTCAGTCTGTGCGTCTGTCTGCACATCTTTGTCTCTCTGTCTTCTATTTGTCTACTTGTTCATCTACTTACCTAACCATCTGTTTGTCTGTTTATCTATCTATCTATCTATCTATCTATGTATCTACCTATCTATCGGTCTGTCTATCTATCCATCCCTCTACTCGATCTATCTGTCTACACATGTCTTCGTTTTCTGTATGTATGTATGTATGTATGTATGTATGTATGCGTGCATACATGTATGCATACATGTATGCATGTATGCATGTATGTATACACGTACTATACACATAGTGTGCGGTCAGGAATCCTATATCACCAAAGCAAGACGAAGACTCAACTGGAGTTCTGGTTTACTAGGACTTCTCATTGGTTTGACAGGCATAGAACCCGTCTTAAATGAGAAATCAATGTTTTCAGGCTGATTAGGGGGGGGGGGGCTCCTCCCGCCCGAACTTGCTACTTGTGCTGCGGTCGCACCGTCTGGTAGGGCTTTTTTTTCTGCTGCCGTTGGATGCCTCTTCTGCTTTTTCACTACAGTGGTGCTGCTAGTACCCCCCGGCTGTGCTTTGCTCGTCCTTGGGAGCTTCCATTCTCCTATCTGTAAATGTTGCTAAGCCCCAAAGCCGAAACCTTGTTGGCAAGCCCGCAGACCGTCAACTGCCTCCTCCTTTTCTGGGATTTATTGATGTAGATTGTTGCGGAGAGAAAACGGGGTACAAAGACAACCTTAGTGGGCACAATCCCTGGTCAGCGATGTGTTGAATGAACCGCAACCAACCGGAGGGGTTTCAGGTTCAGGGTTCGTGAGGTGAGGTCTTCAAGTTGTCTGAAAGCCTTTGCCACGGGCCTTTTCGATCCAAAGCTCAAAGCTTCGAGATTTATTTCTTCTGGTAGACCTCGGCGTGTGGATGATGAAGTTTGCCTGCGGAATACAGGCCGCGGCCTTGCAGCCCTCCAACTGCTACTCACGGTGCTGGTGCTGTTCTGCTGCGCCATGCCCAATGCTACTGCAACCGTTGTGGTTGCCGTGACTGCCAATGCTGCTGCTGTTGTTGGGCGTCGCCGGCAATGCCTGTCACCAACCCTCCCCGACGAGCATTCCTCCAGCCTTCCCAAGTCTAGGATGTGCAGAGACTTGATCAGCTGCCAGCGATGATTCTGCCAGCCAAACATGTTTTCCCGCCAGGGTCTCTGAATATATAAGTGGGAGCCATGCCCATGCAAGTGCCAGGCAGCCACGGATGTGCCGGATTCCCCGCAGCTGCTGGGCTGGCGTCGAAGAAGCGGGCGCGGAGTTCCTTTTCCCGCCAACTGAGGCGACCGGAGCTGCCAGGCGCACTGGGCGCTGTGGCAAAAGCCACCGAGGCCAGGGCCGGCCAGAAGGGCAGTGCGAGGAGCCCGAGCGCAGCGCTGACTTCCGAGGTCCAGACGGAAGCAGAGCGTTCGGCACCCAAAGCGACGCCGAAGCTGGGCGTCCTCTATGCAGCTTGGACTTATGAAAGCTTTGCTCGAGATCGCATCACTGGTTCTGCCGAGGAAGTTGTTTACGATGCGATCTGGATACGACGGGAGCCCAATGCGAAAGGCGACAAGCTGACAAAACGCAGCCGGACAGCGAAGAGTAAGGTTCGTCATGGTTTCCTTTGGCCAAGACTCTAGCTTCTATCGATGGTTGCAAGCGATGTCTTCAGGACGCGATGTTAACAAAACAGAAAGGGCAACTTGAGATTTGATAGAAGTGGAGGACCAGCACCCGATAGTGGGAGCTTTGCATCCAAACGGTTTTTCCGCACCAGCGGGGTTGCTTTGACTTTTGCCCGGCTACGCTTCGCCTGGGTGAGCGGTTCCCTTCCTGACTTTTGCACTCCTTGGCTTCCTGACCACATTCGATCTGCTGATGTTTGGCTTTTTGTTGTTGATGTTTTGTTTGATCGGCGTCGAAAGCTCGTAGAGACTGTTCTTGGGCATGACAGCTGAAATGCGGCGATTCGGGGAACGCAGGGATGCCAAGAACGACAACTTCTGCAGGGGAAGCTGTAGCCGACTTCCTACAAGAACCCCAAACCCGATCCATTTCTTTTGAACTCCTGAGCCTATCAAACAGTAGATCAGACAGGAGATATCGCCCAAGAATCAAGAGGTGGAAACGTCGCGCAGTGGTCGGGCAAAGCTAGGCTGGTGCCTGTTGTCTGCTCGAGGTACAGTTCAAGCTATTTGTAGGGTAGAGTTAAAAAGACTCGCTTAAGTACCTGGCCACCATCAAGCGCCTAAACAACTACTTCACCTCGGGGCGTTTGCTGCATTACACAGGCGGATTACAGGCGGCCCCTTGCCCTCGCTGCCCAACCTCCCCCCTAAAAGCAGACGTACACACTTCAAAAAGCTAGGTGTCAAGAACGACCGCCTCCGTGTGCTGGGCTTGGATGACACGCAGAATTGGGGCAAAGTCCACGTCACCTGGCAAGAACCTTTGATTCTCTTCAGTTCAGTCTGCGGAGATTTAGTTGACACTCGCGCGTGTGGTACAGGCCACTTGACAACTTGGTTAGTGTGTTGTCACCGGGCGTTTACAAATTCGGTGCCGGTCAATCGGTGCCTCCTCCGGCCTTCGTCAACATTCACCAGCATTCAGGATGTGGCTGCTTTGCTGAATGCTCAGGTTAACGTGCGCGAGGGCGAGCTCGAGGGATGGGCGCTTCGCTCGGCAAGTCGAAGGATGCGGGATTAGATCGTACGAAACCTCCAAGCCCGAGCGCACAGCTTCAGTTCTACCCTTGCCTGAGTAAATGGAGGTTCACGTCTTTTGTGTTTCCTTCTTTCGTGCAGTAGCCAGTGACAGCTGGTGGAAAGCGAGGTCATGCTTCAGCACGAGGAACTGGGAGAGTTGATCAGGACAGAGTTGATTTTCCGCCCCGAGAGACGGTTCGGAAAAGTAAAGATGTCCAGGACCTGTGCGGATGATGACGATGAGGGGGGTCTCCTCAAGCCAGCGAGTTTGTAGCCCTAGCAACCTGGCGCTGGCAAGAGACGCAGCACACAAATTAAAATGGTCGTGCTGCGTAGACGGCAGTGCAGCCGAATCTCGACAGGTCACAAAGGGCGTCATGCTGCCCCAGATGTCTTTCAAGGTTTAATGCGATGGAAAAGTCTGAGTCAGAGTGGTGCAGCTCAAGCCACTGCAACCCCAGTGCCGTGCTGCAGAGGGGCTGCTTTGAGTGCTTGTGGGTCGATGAGCTTGAACGTGCCGGCATTCGTCATCTCGTCCTCATCGTCCACTCATGCATGGTTGTTCAGTCATGCGCTCACGGCCACAAGCTGGCCGTTCGGCAACTCATGCAATCCATGCCAAATACCATGGCCTCACATACGCCCGAGTTGGGGGACCAGGCTCAGACACGGAGGAATACATACGGAGAATCCTGGAACTGTCGTCTCCACTTGAAACTCCCTCATACCTGTCTTGGCCATTCAGAATCATGTCTCATCAAAGGCGTTGAAGGTTTGGCACTGAAAGTTCTCACTCATGTGAACCCCTGCAGGGATACGATGCTCGAGTTCTCTGACAGGAACATGGAGGATTTTGCTAAAGGTGGCGGTCACTTTTTTTGCTAAAGGTGGCTGTCTTGTGTCGGGGGGGGGGGGGGGGGGGGTAGCACGATCTTGCGCCCATCTGATGGCCAGGTCACATCGATGCCACCAAGCCTGCTGATGAGTTGCTTTCTCAGTGAGGGCTCCGTGTTTGCAGCGTTCCGTGACGGGGAGATGTGGCCGGTGCGGCTTTGGCGTCCCTCGCCTGAATCCGACTCAGCTCAGGTGGATGCTAGACAAGCTAGCGGAGAACATCAAGGCTGTCTCTGGCAGCCTGATCCCTCTCTCCAGCTTTCGGCTCATTGCCCGGGGACATCAACATCTAAACGAGCCAATAGCAAGGAGATGGGCACGAGAGTGAACGCCTGATTAAATCGAACCGGAGATGACGACGACATTGAGAACAGGCAGCGGACAAGCCGACTACAGGCATCTGAAGAGTCCACTGAGCCTAGCGGTCCAGTGGTTTGACGAATCTGCGGTGAACAGACTTCTTTCCGATCCCTCTAAGCCCGTCACTGAACGGTTCAGAGACACACTTTTCTGCAGATTTACTGCGCCCTTCTGGGATCGATTACGCAGGGGCCCCAAAGGGTTGCAGAGATTCCGGTAAGCCCAATTAGATTGGACCCACTTGCACCACAAATCTAGCCAAGTTGGGCCTGAGTGCCTGCAGGAGCGAAGACTGCATTCGAGTTTCCCTTCACATGTCCGATCAAGTTTTCAACAATGATCTAGCTGCGTGTTATTGAAAGTGCTGCAGGGCGCTGATATCAAGGTCTTTCCGGTGCACTCATTCGACCGCGACGCTTTTCGGCCCGTGGAGCAGTTACTTCGCATCGCAGCCCCTAGAAACTTAGCAGAGCTGCGCAAGCACTGCTTCCCAACACTTTAGAAGGTATCACCTTGCATCATACTGTGATATCTGTGATATCTGCTACGATGCTGTGTGTCGCCAGGCGGGCCAGTAATCTGAGTTGATCTTCAAAGCTCATCCTGCGTGAGAACTTGCTGGCAGGCCGGCCATGTTTCGAACCATCACGGCCCCCCAGCCATCCAGGCCGATGTGAGCAGTTTCAGAATTCGTTAAAGCAGCTCATGGAGTTAAGATACCCTTGCAAGAGGCATCTTTTCTACCCTCCTGCCCGTTCTCTTAGCGCAGGCTGGCAGCTCAGGTTCAGATAGGCTTCACGACAGCCCGGTAGCTGGATTGTCGAGGGGGTGCAAGACTCCGCTCCGCAGACACGTGGCTCCAGCCCTGCCGAACATCGCCATGGCAGCTCCGACTCCGATGACGCTGGAGTCTCGTGTCGACGCTTGGCGGCCTATCAGTGTCGCAGCGACCAATCACCCGCATACCAGGCGTTTTCTTTCGATTCCTGGGAGAAGCAGGGGCTGGACAGACGTGTGCATCACTGTTGCCTGCTGAGGGGTCCTTTCAGACCGTCTCCGATGTGGACTGCGCAGGCCAACTCGGGAATTTTGCTCCGGCCGTCGCTTCGTTTCTCTGCCTCGCAAAGTCGCAGCGCGAGCTTGGAAGGTCAGAGCTCCCTCGACTCTCTGAAGCCGGGCGTGCTGAAGCAGATGAAAGGCGTCGGCTTCGGAGCTTTTCGAAAGGGGAAGAGCTCAGAGTCGGACTGACAGGAATGGATTTCGACCGCCTCACAGAGATTCAGCAGCTGGCCCTGCTCACTCCTCACTTGGCTGCTGGGCTGCAAAAAGAAGCCTCTTTCAGGAATCTTTCTTTCTCAGGCGTTGCCCAGTTGCCCGTGTTCGGGATTTGTTTTCATATGTACTGGCAACTTATTGTCCAGGTTGCCCAACAGCTTGGGCAGTTGAGGGGCCGTTGGGGACTGACTGTTTCCATGTGGGCTCTTGTTTGGTGGCGGTTGCCACTGGGTTGCCACGTTCCTCTTGAGACTGGGAGCCATTGAGATTCGATGCAACATGGCATGGTTCTGTGTCCGTCGTCATTCTCAGTTGAAGAACTCAGTGCTGACATCCACATCCTGTTGACCTGTGGTCCCCATCGGCTCAGGTGCTCAAGGCACGGACACTTCGCAATCCTACGAAGCTGCTGCTGCTGATCCAGGCCACGACAGAAATCCAATCGCGAAGGGGAGCACCAAGATGCAAGCTTCCTCTTGAATCTTCAGGGTTGCAAAACGGAAACGCGTGGTACACAGCCACCCTCCAATTTGTTTGCTAATCGGACCTACAGATGTCTTGAGGAGCAGAGCACGCAGCCCACTAAATGACTTGCAATTACCAGGCGCGGGGAGCTCATTTGGTGGATCTCGGCCTTTGCCCGATGGTCCCACGCACCTTGTCACAACTCCGAGCCAGCTGAAGAATTTGATGAACGCCCCGCCCCTATTAGCCTTGCCAATGACATATCATTTAATGTGCAAAGACTGAACTTGTTGTCCATGCCGAGAGACATGTGCAAGTCTGCTAACGCACCGGGGTAGTCCGTGGCACTGCGACAGTCCAACTGGCAGGCAGAAACGGCAGTTGACATGAGCATCACATGGGAGCCACGAGTCTTCTTCCAGCCCTTGTCTGTGTCACCTCTAGCCACAATGGCAAATCAGAAGGACACTAGAAGGACAGCGAATCACCGGTCAATGATGTTCGTAGCGCCAAAAAGTCGGGACGTCTCTGATTCTTCCGAGACTTCAGACGTCATGCAGTCAGGCAAGTTGCCACATCCCCAAAAAAAGGAGCGCACTGCCAGGGACGGTTTCAAGCCACAGTCAAAGTTGAGCTTCAGGCCGTGTACAGCGACGACTTCACTCAACCCTCCGCCAGCTTTCTTTGGAGGTGACCAAATTCTTAGAATGCGCATCTCCCGCATCACTCAAGTTCTCTCGATCCTGAAAAGTCTCAGAGTCTCGAAGAGGAGCTGCTGATCTTGTCCCTCACGAAGGTGCGAGGGACCCCCATTCGCTGATCTCCGTCCTTTCTCTCTCCCTTCCCCTGGCAGGCAGATCCAACGCACGCTGAGGCCATTCTTCGAGCATTGCATGAGACCGATTCCAGGTGAGCTGGGACATATTGTGAGGTAGGCCCTTTGCCACAGAGTCAAGCAGGTACTCGTATTTTTCAGGAAGTCGGTTTCCACAATAGGCATCGTCGTCACCCTTGTCCTGCGGGGGTCGATGGTTTAACCGGTTCTTGCTCTGAAACCGGCTGCTTTCGGCTTTGTTAGGTAGCAGTCAGAGCGAAGCTTGAAGCATTCTCCGAGCCGCATGCGGCTTGCGATGAAAACAGCTTGCTTCTTGTGTTGCCTTTAAATAGTGACATGGCAAGCCCGTTCCATCGCGTCAACATGCCGAAAGACTCTGCCCGGCAGATTCGCCAGGGGTGTCGGCACGCAATCACCGACTGGGCACAGTCTTTGTACAGGAGCGGTTGACGTTCGATGTTTGTTTGAAGAGGCTAGAAGGACCGTGCCAACTTGCAACTGCGTGGCTTAGGTTCCGCACGGGCCTTCACTGCCTCGATACTGGTTACATTCTTCTCCGAGCTTGGGGCTTCGCGTCAGCAAGCTGCAAGCCTGCCCATTGAACGACCCGGGCTTCAGTTGAAGCCGTTTCGACCAAACGGACTTGAGGCCTCAATCGTACTCGAGTTGGCGAGATCTCAGCTGAAAAACCCTCGCTGTTTGGTCGCCGCACGTGTGCAATCTGCACATTGCCTGCCAGATAGATGCCCACAAGCTACATAGTCGTTGGAGCCTTCTGTAGGTAAAGGAGAGCGGGCATCTATTCGCAGAAACCAGGGCACCTGCGTAGTGACCTGTCCCGGCTGTTAGAGATCTGCAGAGCTCATCCTTGCCATCAGGGGCGCGGAGCACAAACACCCCAATATAATAGGGACACGATTGCTTTGCGGGAAGCTTGGAAGGTGATGTCTTTGGGAAGTGTGACTCATCGCCGCATGCAAGAAGAGCAGGGATTGTAAGTCAGTCCGCTTGTCTTCACGCTGAAAGCAAGTTCGGGGTGCGACAGCTACATGTTTTGACCACCGACAGTTTCGTAAAGGAGTCTGAGTCGAAGAAAATCTGCAGCGGTCATGCAGGGTAGGCTAAAGAACCTATGCCTAGATTCGTGGTTTCCACCGTCCTCTTCTCTCGCCTGGTCGATGCTCCAATGCCCGACAAGCGTTGCGAAGCCCTTGAACAAGGATGGTGCAGGCTCACTTGCTGCCTGACAGGGTCCACCCAGAGTCTCACATGGATACCTCACCCCCACTCCTCCATAACTCCACAGAGTCTTTTCGTGGCTGTTAGGCTGCAGCATGCATTCGTAGGACAACAGCATTTCCCACCGGCCCGGAACAGCTCAGATGCGGACGACCTGTCAGGCAGTGCTGTTTTATTCTGCGCACAGACTGGGAACTCCAGAACGGCCGCAGGCTGCAGGAATCCGCAGAAGGATCCTGAAGTTCCCGACTCTTCCGGTGTGCGCTGGCACGGCACCGTCGAAGTGTGCTCCTTGCAAGATTCTGATCGCAGTGACATTAGCCCATAAGCAGGAGCGAACTTCGGACGGTGGTTGTGTCTGTGAGTGTAGTGTTTTTTGATGCCTGTCACGGCAACCCGGCCGTGGTTTTAGAGAGTTGCTGCTGCCCGTGCAAAGTTGTGGGCAAAGTTGTGAGCAAGGCTTTTTTTTCGTTTGCTCCACGGTCTTGGATGGGAGCCTTATAGGACCTTAGGAGCGATGACGGGGAAAAGCCCGAGCAGCAGCGCCCGAGCAGCAGCAACGCGCAGGAATGGCCAGTCTCCTGAAGCAGTTTGCTGGTGGCATGCCCATAGCCAGATGGGTGCGGCAGCCGGCCGATCCTGCTGAGAGGGTTGTGATTTCACTTATTTGTCCGTCATGCCGTTATCTCGTGGTCGACACACATGAAGCTTCAGATGTCTGGAACTGCAGCTCCCCGTGACCTAAACAGACCCGGAGTTTACGACCAAAGAGAGGCCGCATGCAAGACTCGGCGTCCATTCACGCCAACGCCAGAAAAGTTGAAGAGACATGGCATCGGAGAAGTGACGAGACGCAAGCCTGAGCTCGGCCACGCTCGCGAGCCCAAGGTGCGAAGTCAGCGCAGCCTTCGCAGCCTGTCTCCCTGGACCAGGCGCTCCACTAGACTGGCCCGCGATTCTGAAAGTGCATTGGGTGAGGCCAGCTACTCCTCTGAGGAAGTGATTGAAGGCCAGGGCCATACCCGAGCTGAGGCTGAAATTAGGGCCTTTAGGCGCCTTAGCGGCTTTCGGAGGCCTTAGCGCCTGCCTTGGCCCAGACCTGGCCGGCCTGCGCCCACGCATTGAAGCCTGGGCCGAGGCACCCGCTTGCATCAGAACTCTGCGGGATTTTGGGCTGCGACCTCCTCAGGAGCAGGGCGCTGCGTTTCTGGAGGAGCTGATCCAGTGCCTTGGCTTCGAAGGTTCTATGTTTCCACCAGAGGATTCACCATTGGAAGATGCGTGGGCTTGCAGGGGTTGTGGTACGACCTGCCAAAAGGCCGTCTTTTGAAGTCGGATATACCTAAGATTAGGGTTTGGAGCAAACTCATCCGACATCGGGCTACAGGCTACTACAGCGGGAGAGGGCTCAGCGGGGCAAGCCATTCGACGGAGCGAAAGGACGAGAGACTTTTGCTCAAGGGCAAGCACCATCACCAGGCAGAGACTGGAACTCCCCGACTCTATTCCCGATGGAGGGCCCGCAATTTTCGAAGGCAAGACGAGGGAGGAGGCCCAGGTCCAAGCGTCACTACTGTCGAAGAGGCGAGAGAAGAGCTCTCTGGAAGTTAACTTCGCTGCAGGCTCTACAAGGATGAGTGCAGGTCGGGGGATCTGCGAGAGAGCTCCGAAGGGGGAGGACAAGTCAAGGCAGCGTGGGCTCTGCTGAAGGCAGAGTCGCGCTGAGATGACACCGATCGCGACTACCAATTTCACCACCCAAACACGTGATGCTGATGCACCATAGACTATATACTACATACTTCCAACACCTGAATTGTCACCGGGTGGATGTCTCGCGGCCAACAGAATGCTGAAGGTCCTCGATAGCTTCCGGCGGAGTTCGGACCTAACTCGAACAAACGTAGTCCCCTTTCATCAATCAGTTGCAGAAGTTGCAGGGTAGCAGCACTGAGCCTCCACCACACGACGGCTTCAACTTGAGAGTTGTGTCAGGCCGCCTCATTCAAAATGACATGTTGAGCCCATGGAAGAAGATCCTACGTGGTGGCAGCGAGGTCCTGCAGGTCGACAATTATGGTAGCATGGCCCGGGTCACAAGCGCACCGAAAAAGAAAAGAATGAGAGAAACTACAATGAGATAATGGGGAGTGCGAAGATGTGCCATACAAAGCTTGCAGGCGCGCACGCTTGGTGGGCACGATTTCTTAGATTGAGGCATGCGCCCGAGATGTGCGTCAGCCTGGGCCTCTCGCAGGCGCGAGCTTCAGAACTGAGAACGTCATGTGCACGTTTGCACCCAGCAGTACCGGGACCCCTAAACCCTAAACCCTTGCAAGGTTTCACGAAAGCCCCAACATCGGATTGTTGCCACAGGAAGAGGCCTCTCGTCTCTTCGCTCGCTATCGGGAGGCAGCCTGGCTTTTAGGGATTGAGCTGGCAAGCCATCCGGAGAGTAGCGACCTGCAAAACATAGTTGGCATCTAGCAGCAGTCCAACAAAGGCTTTTGCCAAGTCACCCAGCCACTGTGGGAGTTGCAAGCACAACACCATCGACGTAGAACAGTGGACAAGACTGGCACAGAAGCGGGCCTGCAGGTGGCGACCATCCTGAACGTGAACCTTGGCTCTGACAACGGTTGCAGCTGTCCTGAGCACCGTGTGCAAGTTTCCACTGCGAGATGGCCAAGGAAAGCAGCTGAGAAGGCGCCGATAAAGGAGTTGGCGAAGGTAAAGCCGTGCACAAGCAGAGCTGCGGTTCACGCCGCGGCGGCGTCGATTCCGTGCGTGCGCTGTGCCAAGCAGGCTTGTGAAGGGGGAGAGGAGGTGCAGGTTGCAAATTGGGGTCGTGGTCGGCACGCTGTTGTCTCGCAGGAAACTTAAATCACAAAGCTTGCATCAGCCTGTCTTGCTATCACCAAGATGGTTCCAAGTGAAGCACCCAAGCTGCAGGAGGCCGTACTGCAAGCAGCTACTCAGCCGCAAGCTGTGCCGAAAAGCTCCTCCTGCGGTCAGACCGACACAGAAGCGATGTTGCAAGGCTCCGATGCAGGTCCAAAGAAGCTCAGCTTTTTCTCCTCGTAGTGCATACTTCAGGTGACCATTGCCTCCCAGCATGAAGGTTGGGGTCGCAAATGGAATGAGCCTCGTCCAACATGCCATGGTTCGGCTAGTTTCACATTGGTTCACTTTGTGGTGAGTCAGTTCAGCATGAGTCTGCTCTTTCATCACGGCTCGACCACCTTGGGTGGCTTGCGGTGCGTCGCACTTGAACACATCCAATGACACAAAGACACAGAAGCACAGACACACACAGACACAAACATATATATATATATACACACACACACATAGATACATACACAAGCATATGCACCCATGAAAACTCCAGCTATTACATGTGTATGTCATGCATCGCACTCCCGTGGTCATTTGCCTAGAGGGTCTCCCCATTCTTGAATCTCATCGGATTTCTTTCTTCTCCCACCTACCCTCACCTTTACATCGATTGTCCATGACCTTCAGTGATTCAGTCTGCGTGAACGGACCGGGAAAGGGTCAGTCCTCACAGAGTGTCGAAAAATTCTATTGTAAGAAATGTGAGATATCGCTTTGAAGACTTCGAACGATCTCAGACTTCGCCACCGCTGTGAAAGCAGTTGGAAAAAGAAGGTGCGCTCAGGGATGTACGTTCTGAAATCGATTAGCACTTGTTGCCACTGATAAAGTCGCTGCGATATCGCACCAGGAGCATGTGGAGTTCTTATGCTGTAACAGGTTTGGGGCAATGAGCATCGCGAGCAGCTTAGGAGTGCCAGTACTCCTGCGTCAGCTGCCAGCTGCCGATTCTTCGTGAAGCTCACGTGACACCTGGCTTTACAAGGGTTCTTAAACTGTCTGCCATCAGCCGCTGCACCCGAGGAACTGCTGCAAAACGTGCAAGCTCTTCTGGCATCAGGATTGCGCGAAGGTTCCTTGGGTGAAGCTTAGGGGGTTTGACATCACCATCGCATGCAGGACGATTGAAGCTCAGAAACCATTAAGCACAACAAGCACAAGCTAGGGGAGTGGAGAGTTCCCACGGTTGTCTGTCCGACGCTTGTGAGAGAGACTGGTTGCTATTTCGTCAAGGCGAAGCAGCTCTACACTGCGGCACGCAGAGCCTTTGCTGTCAAAGCCAAGAACAAGAAGGCTCGGCTCAGCATTGATCTCGGATTGGGATGTCTTGCAGTTTTCGAGGTGAGTTTCGGAAGTTCCGAGCTAATCCTCTAATACTCTCAGAGAGATTGATTGGATCGTCAAAAGCCGGGCTACAGACTCTCGCCATCCTATATCCCCAGGCATCGCCAGTGCCACCCATGCCAGCACCGGTGCCGGCACAAGAACCAGCTCGCAGCACGCGGAGCAGTGCAGTTCGGCAGCAAGCGACTCGATCGGTGCTTCAGGAGCGGTGTAAGCCTTGAGCCCGGTTGGACGCTTCTCTGCAAAATCTGGATCAGGCCGTGCTGCCCAGAGCCTCGACTGTGCAGCCGCCTACAGGGGTGCCTGCTGTTCCCAGCAAAGGCTGCTGGAGTTCTTGTTTAGCCTCCCGAAGTTGCGATGTTTGCAGCAGCGCATCAACGCCGGATCGTGAGCTGCAACTTGCCAGTCTTCGCCTACGCACCGCTGGTGCGAACCGTCACCATGCCCGGCACCAAAGTCGAGCCTCTTGGCATACTGGAAAAGAATCGTAGGAGACGTGCATGAGCCGCATAGCATCTAATGTCGGATGCCGCTTTCATCTGGATCCAAGTGAAACCTGTGCTCTTGGTCGTCTGAGTCCACCAGCCTACCCGGAGCAGAGTCAAGAGCAAGCCAAAGGATTGGGGCGGCCACGCAGCGGGCGCGGAAGGCTTACATCCCTCTCCAGGCTCAGCCCTCGGGAAGAATATGGGCGCACCACGAAGCGAGCATCGGGTGCAAAAAAGAATTGATAACATGCCGCAGCTGAAGGAAGGAAGTGAAGGAAGGGAGGGAGGACGGGAGGAAGGACGGCACAGCAGGGAGGTTGAAGGAAGCACAAAAGGAAGATGGGAACAAGGAAAGAGTGTGAGGAAGAGCGAAGGTGCGGATGCCCACGGGAGAGCAGGGCCCTGAAGATCTGGACTATCCCTAAGTTCTGGGTTACCTTGAAGCTCGCCAGCCTTCACGTGCTGTGCCGCAGTGCCATCCTTCAAGATCTGCATTCTCAAGCTGATAACAAACCCAAGTATTTAGAGACCATTTAGGGATAGGGACACACCTATTTAAATCTATTTGAGCCTGGGAACGGAATTGTCTCGGGTTTTCGCTGCTGCAAAACCTACAACACTTATTTTCTCACAGCGCGCGGAGACCATGTAGAGCATTGCATCGTCCTGGACAGCGAGCGCTGGCCGATCGTTGAAGCACAGCATGCATGATCTTGTGAGCAGAGTATATTCCTCAACAGAGACGGCGGATGGACCTCAAGCAGTAAATCCCGAAACGTCTGATCCCTGCAGTTTTTCAGAGATCCTCCAAGGGCCCGAGGCGATTTGCACGCTGGAACAAGTACCCAGTGCAGACGGCTTGTGAAGCTCAATAGCGCCCAAGGATCAGTTTACCAGTGAATTTGACGTCGCCATGGTACGCTGGTCGGAAGTTATTCGTAATAGGAAGCTTCGATTCATGACAATGAAAAATTTAAGAGCAGATCATTGCAATGTTCACCTGAAAACCAATATGTGCAGTGTGCTTCTTCACTTCAGCATGGAAACCTGAGACTTCGCATGGAAATACGATGTCATGATGTAAATTGGAGGAAACCTTGCAAGTTTCGCAGAAAATGAGCACAATTCTTTGTTGTTCACAGTTTCTGCGTAGAGGCTCAAGGTTTCTTTGTTTTTGTTTGATTTGGTTCCTTTAATTATTTTGGGGGAGAAGTAGTTTAGTAGACAGGTAGGTAAATGTTAGCAAACTTCGATGGTTTCGCACGAAATGGTCACTTTTGGCTTATCTGTCTGGAAACCTAAGATTTCGAGCCGACACATAAAGCATTTAGAATCAAAATCCTGGGTTCCTATTGTGTTCTTTTCCTGAAATATACTTTAGACTTATTCAACGATTGCGTGTTTCCCTTTGATCGAATTTTCATTCCAGTTCGTGACGACTAATTAGTATTCAAAGGCCCCCTGTGGCTATCCAGGCATGTAAAATACAATGACGCTGGAAGAAGATACTGAGCCGCATAGAGATACAAAAACGAGATGCAGGCAGCAATGAGCCAATGAACCGAAGTGTGAGCTGAGCCGAGGCGTGGAACTTCCGCGTGCCACCCCGGAAGATTCAGACTGCGGCTCCAACCCGGTAGCTGGTCAAATCTGGTCCGATTGTCCTGAAGCATCCACGTTTGCATGAGGATTATTTTGGATCTTGCCGGCTGTCCCACAGCAGTGCCGTCGTCATGGTCATGTTCTGTCCTCGCGCAAGAGTACACCCTTGTGCAAGTGCAGCACACCAGGTCTGCATGTGCTACCAAACATGCAGACTGCCGCAAAAGGTACTATCAGCTCAACCGACTCGTCTAGCCAGGGTCCGGAAAGAACTGCCCGGTCGGCGGAAGGCAGAGCTTTTTTCGGGACGAACGGGAAATTACAACGGAGGGTTGTGGCTTTTTTTTGCAATTTTTTTTTGGCCTGCGGGACGTGGGTTGGGTGGGGTGCAGGGGCTGCGGGGAGCTCGCGAGACCGCGTATTGACATGACCTAGATTTAGATTAGACTTGATGCGATCTGTCATACAAGCATTGTATCATTCTGTCTTATGTTGATATGAAATTAATGGCGAGACCGCATTGACATGACCTAGATTGGACTTGATGCAATCTGTCATACAAGAATGTATTATTTGTCCTATATTGATATTAATTCACCATGATATGTATATTGAGGTAAAACAAACGGTTACATCAATAGTAGTAAATTCCAGTTGTGGTATTAATACTGCAAAATATGTCACAAGTCAGTCTAACGTTATGCAACAAAGACTCGTATGGCTATATGATTATATGAGTACCATGTCAAGAATATGCAGATCGTGGCTAGTGTGTTAATAGACAACTACTCTTACTTACGGTTATTGGTTACATTACAAATGTTAATATTTGTTTCTATTCCGCTATGGTACAGAGTAGTATATGACACAATAAAGTCCTACCACATACTATATACACCATATCATGCTGTAGTCTATTTATTCTGTTTGATAGAATTATGCTATAGCACAATGTTATTTTAGGTTATTTTAATATAGTGTGCTAAAAGATACACCAAAATATGTGTAGATATATATATATATATGTATAGTCTTTAGGATAACTATATTATGTTGTGTTGTGTTCCATTTAGCTATATGGTGCTTTCTCCTTCATTTTATAATACCGTACAATACTGAAGAATCATTCAAACCGAATACTGTACGTATACAAAACCACACAACTTCATAATATAACAGAACATAACCCAATATCATGTAGTTCATGTAAACTGTAATCTACTAAGGCATGTTCTCTCACAGGGTAGGCGCTTCAATATATCATGATAAAACATGACGGAATACAAAACAATGTAGCATAGTATGATATAACCTATATAACATAATATGTTGTAATCGTTAAACGATGACCCGGCATTGCTAAAATCTTCGACATTGTACATCCTAGACTGTGACCCGGCACTGAGAAGACCTGCATAAGATGGGTTTAGGAAGCTGGACTTTCGTTTGCGAGGCTGTTCCATCATTAGTCTGTTTGCTGGTGTGGCGTACAGCCGACACAAATTTCGCCAAACTTCGAGCCCAGTCCCTCCTGTAATACGTAGGTTCAGCAGCACAGATGTTTGTCGATGTTGCACATGACTCGCTTATGCCAATAAGATGATATTGACGGTGCTTGCAATCACGGTGGCGACAAGCTATCCCCATCCCGGACAGTTCATCTTCCGGCTGTGATGTGTGGTCCATCTACCACAAGGGGGGCAGACCAAAAACCAACAGCCAAAAAACAACACAAGAATCCACCCAAATACAGCTGACCCTCAGCTTGGCGTCCGTGCGCCTGCGTGTCATTCATCCTAAGGTCCTAGTGCTTTCTCGAGAGGCAAAATGCGTCCATGAACTAGTTTGCTTGGTGGATTTGTAATCGGTGATCGGCCCAACTGGAACTACGTTTATGATCGGGTTTGAGAGGAGTGGCTGAGGTTGGTGCTTGGAGGGTGGCATCTGGCATGCGCGTGTCGACATAATCACTTCATCCACTTCATAATTAGTTACCTCTGCGACATTCTGGGACCGGACTCGCAGCGGCAGCCAGGCCACCAGTCCTGAGCCTAGCTTTTCTGCCACCCTGTGCTCAAGGTTATCGGAACCGCCCCTCACTGCCACGGAGGTGCCAAGGGGAAGGAGGGATGAAGAGGGAGGGATAGCACAGCGGTTCGGCTGCAGCTTGGCGGCAAAAGTGTTCTCTTTGCTGCGTTGCCTGCAGGAGCTTGTGGAGAACACCGACGGCCTCCCTGGGCGGGTGGAGCGCCGCGCGGATCTGGCAACTCGCAAAGGAAAGCGCACAGGAAGCCCCAGGGTCCACGGGAGCCCCACAGGTCGCTTTCAGGAGCCTACGCCTACGCAGTGCAGCCGAGCGCTTGAACTCTCTCTCTCTGAGGATCGCCATGGCAAGCCGCCTGGACGAGAGAGACATCCCCTGGTTCCACTCAAGCTTCGACTAGACATGCTGCATGCGCTCCATCTCGGGCAGCAATTCAGAGAAGGGCGTGCTTCGGATTCTGCCTGGTGGGCTAAGAACAAGGTGGCTATTTGCGACGTGGGAATATTTGCTCAGCTTGATCGCTACAACTGAGAGCGTGTCAACGAAGTGAAATTAGATGTGTGACAACACCATGTCAACATAAGAAGGGAGAAACACGAATTCTGCGACCACACGATTCGCAGCAATTGTCATTGAGCGCATTTTCAAAAAGCCAGCGTGGTTCGGCAAAACGTCTCGCATTGCCGTAATTACTGAGATACCGCGCAGCACGCCGAGAAGGCTTCGACAGAGAGATTCAGGTGCGACCCGGTTTTCTCGGTAGATGCTGTGAGAGTATTGGCACATGTCCGTCTTAGCGTCATAAGCCGAGTCTTCCTCTGCTCTCTTCCGAGACTCTCATCCGTCGTCGACCCCCGCAAGCTTGGGAGCTCCAGCATCCCTTCGCTAAAGAGATGGAGGAGGCTACTTGGGGCAGCGTGAGCTCTGTTCTACTGCCCGGAGGTCATCCCACGGATTTCACCTCTCTTCCGTAGCAATGCTTGCAGGACAAGGCCCTCGCATCCGTGGCAGCTCAAGGATCCAAGCGAAACGAGAGCAAAGGCTTTCAGCGCCTTCAAGAAGACTTTCTGAGGAGCGCAGAGTGCAGGGATGCCATACCTGGCTTCTTCAATATGCTGTGGATCTAGCATCACATCTGCTCTGTTGTGTGCATGACATGGCACCGGCATTAAACGTGCCTCAGGACCCATGGGCACCAGATTAAGGCGCGGATTTGCCGTCCTGCTTCGAGTCTCCTTGCTGGAGCTTGGCAGGAGCAGCTCTCTTCGGTCTTTGAGGGACCGATCAGCATCAAGCACGCCGAGGCGGCGGAGCCCCCGTTTCCTGGCGGCGCTTGAAAGAACGCACCTGAAGAGGTCGGCCGCCCAGCCCAGGAGCGCTTCATGGATGCCATGCCGCTCCGCAGAACTGGACCTCACGGCACCAGAAAAGAGTGGTACGACCGTTTGCCAGGTCCGAGGGCTATCCGCTGCGCCCAGTTTTCCACGGCTCGCAAGCCGAGCTCCTCGACAGACAATTCGCGGCATATCTGTTCAAGCGTCTGGCGTTCCTGCACCCCCGCAAGCCATAAACCGACCCTTATATTCTAGGGTGTGTTCCTGTTTGTATTAACCTTAACCTGCACTTTAAACTCTACATCCAGCCCTAAACCCCGCCTAGATGCAGGCTTCAAGCCTCTAGCAGAACATGAACCGTCAACCTTAACCAGCCTACACCCCAAACCCTCCCTGAGCCGTTGTCGACTCGAAGCCTTATACCTTTGCCTAAACCCTAGTCCCCAACTCGAAAGCTCAAGCTAAACCCTAAACCCCAAAATCCCACAACCACCCCACGCGGGGAAGAGGGAACCGACACCCCACCCCACAAGAGCTGCGGCATCCTGGACCATGGACCATGGGGGTGCGGGAGGGGGGGCTCACGGAGCGCCTGACCATATGTGCAAGCGGCAGTTGGCTAGCGGCAGACGAGAATCCGGTTTAAGAGTTGCGTTGTGCGGTCGGCCAAAGCCAGACCAGGAGAGTAGGGCTTAGAGCAATGATAGGCTTGCTTCTCACTTAAGGCTCCGAGGCAGGCGCAAGGGTTCAGCACCACGGCCAGGAACTATGAATCAATTTGCTCACGTGGTTTGCTGATTCCCGGCCGTGACCTTCCTGCAAACAGGAAGGTGCTTTGCGGCTTGGGATGGGCTCGGGCAGGACCTCGCACTTCTTACGTGGATCTCGTGTGTGTGGAGCTGTGTATGCTACTGGTATCTACTGGTGCACTGAGACGAGCAGCTCAGCCTGTTCGCATGGCATTTACTACCGAGGAGTGAAGCATCTTGCACTCTCATGACATTTGTCTTCGATACTCTAAACAAGTCCTTGCGCACATCCAGTTCACAAACACGATAGGCATGTCGCGTTGAGCACTCTGCGAGCCAGCATGGATTGCAAAAGCGGGAGCCGCAACGTCTGCCCGAGGTGGCAACGAGTTGAAAGTTGTCAACGGCTCAGTGCACGGTCGCGGGATCTACACCGCCGACCTCCAGAATCCTAGGCTGGGGCTGAAGCTTCGAAAGAACCCAATTTGATCGGTATGTATTCGAAGATTCAAGAACACGGATGCTTGCACAGGCTGTCTGCTGGCTTCTGCACGGATCCCAAGATGCTTGTTTGCCAGAGACCCAGCAGGGAACGCTGAGGGGACGGCATGAACTAGCAGGGCATATTGGATGTTTCGAAACCGCACCACGTGAAGTACATGCCAAGCCAGGTGGCGTCCTAGACGATTCTCGACACCTCGCAGCGAGCAGGAACGGCCTTCACAGTTGAATCTCAGATTATCTGCAACAATTTGCTGTATCCAATTTGCGTGGTTGGCCCAGTCCTGTCCTGTGCAACACGGACTTTGGAAAGAGAAGACCTGGGAAGCTCGTCAATTGTACATGCACCGGGACTGTTATGAGTCAATCGATGCATGCTGCTGTTGTCAGCTTCTGTCGAGCACTATTAGGCTGAGTGCAGCGTGTAGATGGGCTATGGGCTTGACTTGCTGCCCGACCGAATGATTCAACATAACATTACATGAACTACAGCACAAAGCAGCAGACATCTGGATTGCTTTTGCCTCCTCGCAGGACTCTTGGCATCCACCAACTCAAAGCTGAGTCTCAGGCCATCAAGCTGCTTGACTTCAAGGAGACGCCTTCCTTTTCAGATTGTACATTCACTTAATTCACTTGCCCAGTTTCTCGCTGTAGTACTTTGAGCATTCAGATCCGTGGCTCAGACGAAGCTCGCACAGCACTGGAAGATGCAACTGCAGCCGGGCCACTTGCACACCCATCCACTTAACAAAAGCGATTATGAGCGATTCATCGCACGCGAAGCAGCTTTCAGCATTTCGGAAGGGGGGGGTTCCTTAGGAGCATGGTGACAAGCACGGCATAGATCTAGTGCGTGCTGAACGGTTCAGACGGTATACACCCTTCGAGATCCGTTAATATGCTGTTGCGGATGCTGTGGCAAGCGACGGGGAGGAGGTCAGACTGTCAAGACGGGATGCAACCCCAGCCACAGCCTTGTCGAGTACTTGAGGCTAGAGTCTAGGCCTGGTCGGAAGTTGATGAAGATGCACACAGTTCCAAGCTTGCTTGACATTCCGAATTGGGAAGCTGGCTCCAAGAGAGAGCCATCACCGCCCTCGTGTTATCTGGGGTTAGAGTGAAAGCTCTCACCCGGCATAAGGCACCGAAAATGTACATCTTCTTGCGTGCATGGTCCCTTTCCCCCAGCCGAGTGGGCATCGGGCTCTTGAGGATAAGGTCGGAGGACGGACGTTCTTCTTGGACGACGGTTTATCAATCATGGCTGCAAAATGGATTCGCCGACAGGATGCAATCCTCAATCTTTCCTCAGCCGTTACACCAAAATCTCAACCCTATCACCAACTATCCATCACCAAGTAAGGACACAAAAGCACCAATGGAGCAGCATGTAGGAACGGCGCAGCCGGAGGGTCCTTGCAGAGCAGAGCCCAACAAAGGCACGTTGGGGACGCCATCGTGGTCTTTGACGAGAGTCGGGTCGTTCCCCTGTTCCAGGCAGGGTTGGGCAAGGATCACGCCACTCCGGCCGTAGGCAGGCGTAGGCACGCGAATCTTCACTGATCCAGGCTTCTTGCAATGCAGCAGCATCGGTTTATTAAGCACAGATCAAATGCTGACATGTGGCAATCCTCTTGTGCTCCAAGGCCTCGGCAAGTGCTTTCCAGCATCGCCGCTGCTCAGCTCCGCTTCCGACGAGCGTAGGCCGCACAACGGTTTGAGGAGTTTCGAGGCCTTGGAGTGTGCCGGCTTTGTGCGGTGCACCAGCAAATCCGTTTCACCCTACAGGTGCTTGCTCCAGATGTACACCCGCCCAAGCAAACAACGGTCTGAAGGTCATTCGCAAGTGTTGGGCAACTGGGCCCCGAACCCAGCGGCGGCGAGCTACAATCCGAACCAGGTCAGGCGTCAAGTTTCGCTTGATCCTCAATCACAGGATGCGTATGTAGGATCTGGATCACATTGGAAATGAGTTGCCCAGTCAGTATCCCACAGAGTCCTTTGCAGGACCTTATCCACAACGGCATCATCACTGCAGGCACAAGATCATTGGGATCCAAGCGAGTTCTGAAGTATGCTGTGTCATAGCATCATGGCTGAGTTGTTACAAGGCATTGTGTGTCTGAACGGCTGTCGCTGGCCGATAGCGGTGACCGGACAGGTACTGACAAGGTCTTCCACGTGCGCACACGTCGCGAGCTTAGCGGGAAGTCTTCTGCGATCTTTATTTGCACGGGCTGGTGAAATGGCAGCATGCTAAATGTTTGGGAGCTGAACATGGTTGATCTTGTCACCACATCCAAGCCATAGAAGCAGCCTTGCAAAAGTCCTGCAGCTGAGGCACCCTTTGTGAAGCAACTAGAAGAAAGTGAAGCCCATTTGTTCAGGTCAGATGGCGTACTTGCCTCCGACGCCGCTGTCGTCCAGTAACTTCAGCTGCAGATTGGTCAGGGGTGCACAGAAAAGTCCATAGCTGCGAATTTGCGATGCAGGCGATGCGACGCAGAGGAAGCGTATCTACGAGCGGAAGGCCGCGGACCGCAGATGGTCTTGACCAGCATGACGTGACAGCCGTGCACGGTAGGGGCCCAAAATTTAGGTTCAGTTTGTGGTGTCATTCAGACACGTTGCCACCGTGCGAAGCCCCACGACTGAGTTGGATCACCAAGCATGATCGGTTGCCTGCAAGTCCTCCCATGCAGTCACGAAGACTAGCTGTGTGGAGCTTTCGGGAGTTGACGTTTGCCTATGCAATTTAATTTGGTTAAGCCACCAGATCAACAACTTAACGCATGCGGGTCCTTATCTGGTGTAGCAGCCCGCCCTCCCCCCGGCACCTTGAGACTTGTACATGTCCGTTACTTTGGCCATGTGCACGTGTGCCCAACCACTGCCCCTCGCTGTCGTGGCCCTCTTCTGTACAATCCCAGACCGACCGCAGCAGACCACAGAGCCCGATTGGGAAGCTAAACGCTTACATTGGGGTGACAGCCCTGAATCCTTGAACCTCAAAGTTCGGCCAAGCTGCCAGGTGCGGGACCAGCGCATCAAGGTCCTCCGGGAGATGAAAGTGGAACAGGCAATGGTGTTTGGGCAGTGTGGATGGATTTCGTGGTCGATGGGTTCAGAAACAAAACCTCCAAACACCCCTTACATGGCGGGGACCCGTGCCGCCGGTCTCCGTGCCATGTCGGCTTGTACGTGGTGCGCTTCTAGCGAAAGCCTTCTTCTCGTAGTCCGAATGTCAACAGCGAAGCTTGAGCGCGGCAAGTTAGTGCGAGCACGTCCAGTTTTTCCAAAGCCGCTAGTTATGCAAGCACGCCAGGGGCACACGAGTCACTTTTCACCGTGGCTTGAAGGTTCTTGGGAGTCAATCTTGTGGTTGCACGTATGTACACTTGGGGGATCGATGCGAGAGTCGGTCAGGGCACCCTTCCTGTTTAATCGCTCTGTGTGTTGCCGAAGTTTGCATGTTCGTAATAAATCTGAGGCAATTGTTCTGGCAACATGCTCCTTTAGGTTCGTGTGCAACAAGGTGGGTTAGTTGAGAGGCTCCTGGAATATTGGACCTCCCAAGGCAAGTCCGGGCAAGAGTAGAGAACAGGATACTGCACGAGCCTTCTATGCGAGACTTGATCGAAGCTCCTTTCTGAGATTCGCGGGGTTGGGATGGCTTGGGCTGTCTTCTGGAGTGCAGGCCGAAGCGCAGTGATTCCGGATGCAGCAAGCTCCTGTGCAGTTGAGGCAAAGCAATAGCTGCTAAACTCACTGTTGAACCAACACCCCAACACTACACTGTTGCAAAACATGAAAGTCTCTATGCGTGTAAAGCACGCTCTCCAATGTGCTTCGCGTTTTTCCCGTGCCGCTGTTGCATCAGCGAGACACAGCGCAGAAGCAGTCCCAGGCGAGTCGAAGTGATTGATTGTACAGCGGCTTCGGCAACATGAGTCCTTGCTGTGAGCCGTGAGTTTCTATAAGACATCTTATGCTTGAAAGTACTTGTTCGCTGCTTGCATGGCCGGTTTGGCATGTGGATATCCACAAGGCAATGTGCAGCCTGCCTTTTTCTCTTTGCTGCTGTGGACATCCCGCTCAATCCCGGGTGAACTATGTAATGTACAGGCCGGCGACAGCATCCCAAAACAGCATGGAAAGCACAAGGTGATTGTGTGATGTAATAGGACTAATAGGAAAGGCGGATTATAGATTGGAGCCTTAAGCCTTGAGAACAAAGCTTGAGTAGTCAAAGGATCTGCAGAGCCACTTGCTGTTGAGTGCTGAGAACATGCTACACCCGCGAAGTTACACACCGGCGAACCGACACGAGTGAGGATAATCTGCCATTATCTGTCAAACGAGAGCAACAGGGTGAAGAGCTGTAACACGAACGCACAAGAAGGAGACGAAAATCTTCATGAACCAATCTGTTGAAACCCCAGGAGTTGCATGCAGTGCCACGCGGTGCCTTTGAGGCCCGAGATGCTGAAGGAGAAGGCCGGAAGCGGTGGCCCTTCTGGCGACGCGGCCTCAGCGGAGAACAGGAAGCCCCTTAGTGTTTTGCAGCTTGCCCCATGCTTTAACTTTAGATGACTAGAATCCACGACCCGGGGGTGCTCAAGTGTGGACGCAAAAGGCTGCAGCTGTGACGGCTTTCTTGCAAGTTGAAGCGCCGGGGACCCCAGAACCGGCATTGTGGAAGGGCTGTATGCGGGAAGGAGGAAGCTTTGGAGCTGTTGGTGCCGATGGCTGAGGGATCCTCGACCCACAACATGGCCAGATCTAAACAACCCCGAATAGTGCTGAGCATGCCTCAAGCCGAAGGAGTCACCGCACCGGTCTGGTAATTATGTAGCGATCATTTCATGATCCGACATACATATGAATACGTCTAGCGTACACTCCCATCCAACCCGTCCACAGCCGCTCAGGCAGAAGGCCTTCAACCAAAAGCTCGACATGGTTGAGTCTACTGGGTGCAAACCCGAGTCCGAAGGTTGGCACAAGAAGCCTAAGCTTAAGCACTTGCAATCTACTCTCACGGACCATTCCAGGCCTTCCAAGTGCGTTTGACCTCCAGCGATGGATTTTGGCAACTTCTAATCACGGGTGCCCACGCCAACAAACAAAGACTCCTCACTTCCACAATTCAAATCCACAAACCACAAGCCTTTTCCCTGACCATCAAAGAGCTAGCCAGACTAGGGGCTGCATAGTGCGCGTGAGCAACAGTCACATGCGCGTAAGGCTTGCGCACCGGGTGCTTACAAACCCCATGCGCGGAAGGGGTGTGCGCAAGGGTATCTCGAGATCTTGCCAAGACGACGACGACAACGACGACGCTACTGCTCCTGCTGCTCCTGCTCCTGCTCCTCCTGCTCCTGCTACTGCTGCGCTGCTCCTCCAACTGCTGCTGCTGCAACCACTACTCAAGCACAGATCTGAAAGCCAAATCAGTTTCGTTTTACACAGGGTTCAGTGCGCAAGGGCTGCGGCAGGCCTGCACGGGCGCGCGCATCCCACATGTGTGTGAGAGTCCTTGGCAACATGGGTGCCAAACCAAGGCCATGGATTCTAGACCGGAAGCCGACTCAAGTCCCTGTACCGCTAAGGTCTTAAACCGAATTCTAAAGCGGGCTCTGATTGGACACCCAAGTTCCCTATCCCAAAGGCCTTAAACCGGGTTCTGGAACATCTTGCCAGGATTTCGAAAGGCCTGCAAAAGGACCTGCAACGCGCAAGGGCGCCCATGGGCAGACCCAAGGGGCCGCGTGTAAAAGTGCAAGGGACTGTTGGCGTGAAAGGATGGAGTAAAGGCGTTGACCACCGACATGTTTTTTGGTGGGCACTCGCTCAAAAGCCTCGTGCCTTGAACAGCATGGCTTGGTGTGGCGGGTTGTGGCTACAACTAAAACACCGAGATGTAAAGACACGCAAAGACAGAAGCACACCGTTGTGTTGCCCATGCACTAAATTGGATTTGGTGATGTTCCAACTGACGCTTTCGGCATGGAATTGCGGACGTCACAGGTTGTTGCGAAGCTTGCTGTACGAAGGATTTTACTTGTGAAGTTAATCAGGCCTCAGGTTTGCAGAGTTGGCACACGCGTTATTTCCGAAGCCCTACACATGAAGACACCTATCATTGTCTGCGCCCATGGACTGCTGTCAGACGGTGACATGAAAATAAACGGAGCCAGCAAGAAAATCATGAATCGCCATGCCCCGGAAGCGTACAAGTTCAGTTCGTGCGCTGATGTGGACTGCTTAGAGCTGGTAACCTGCCGACATAGGTATCCCTACGCACCTTGTTTGCAAGAAATTCTCCACAGTGGCCCAATCGGAATATGGCCTGCGTAGACCCCAAACAGCGGAGCTCCACTCCACCACCACTCCAAGTCCGATCCAGGCAATCTGCAAACCGCCATAGCGGAGAGCACTCTGCACACATGCACGCACGACGCACAAGCAAGAATGCGCACGGCACTGTGGCGAGAGTGCATCATCCGGTCCAAAAGTGGTGACCAAAATACGAACGGCAGTGGCATGAGAAAGATTTGTACTCCGAAGCCGCACGAAACGATTGAAGATGCACGGGATTGCCGCAGGAGTAGGACTGTCTCTCGGAGGCGCAAACGCGCCGGACTGGCAAGACCGCGATGGCCAACAGCGGCAACCCTCCTACTTAAAACGGCCGAGCGCCACAAAAGGCGCAGGGCATTGTCGCTAGAGCACGACTTCGGAAATCGCCAACGGTCCTGGTAGTGGCGGTGTCATTATCGACACCACATTGTGCCGGTCTTCAGAGCTCCGGAGTTTGAAGCGAGCCTGGCTTGACCCCAAAATGCGCACGATTCCGGAAGTGGGAGAGTGCAAAGGTGCTGCATTTTGCAGTGCAAGCATCTGCTGGGGGCTATCATATGGCCGGTCTCAGTAAGCAAGCCATTCCAGAAGTTGTTGCCTCGCATTCGCTTTGATTCGCCTTGCTGGTGCCAAGGCCAGGATTGACAGCGATGGTCACACGACAGGTGCTACTGATGCAGTCGAAGCCTTGGGTTCCTTCCTGCCTTGATTGCTTTCCAGGCGTAAGACGGCGCGTGAAAGTTCGGCTTGACAACTGCGTGTCACGGTTGCGCATGCCATCTTGACGCAGCTTGGCAGCCAGGCTGGACCAATTTTGGCAGCAGCACCTGAAGAACATGGACTTCATGAAGTCAAGAGCCCAGTCTTGCCGAGTCCTGACGAAGTCTCAGAGAAACGACATTCTAAACCTAAATGCACCTTCGAATCATCAAGCAGAAGCAGAACACCCGCACCTGTCCATTTTTAGCTTTTCCCTCGCATCTGGAGGCTTAATGGGGCCAACAGCACAAGCTACTTGTAAAGCGTGTTCGCCTCGCATCTCATGCGCCAGGACGGGCGTGACACTACGTGCCTATGGTTGCGCCCCTGGAGGAAGAGAAGAATTGTGCAACATGAAAGTCGGAAAACGACAGGAAGTTTGAAACCGGACAGGACCATCAAGCCTTCGGTGAATGTGTGGCGTGAAGGTGCAAAGTCGCACTTGAGCTCCGCCGCTGTCTGAGGTCAAAAGAATCCGCTCACCGAGTACAAGCTCGAGGTGAGCAGCCCAAGGAGGAGGAACTCAGTGGAGGCAGAAGGTGCTGAAGGCAGGCAGAAGGCCTCCTGAAGTGTTTCACTAAGCCGCTCGCCGGCTCGAAAGCCTGCTCCTGACCGCTGCAATCGCTGCAGGGCTACCAGGTCTTCCTCAAGATGATGTCGAAGATCAGGCAGGCTTCTCGTCATTGCTCGCCTGACTTCCCTGGAAAGACAAGATGTGCCTTCCTTTCCTTCTGAATTAGCCTTTGAGCCGGTACTTGCTCTGTGCTCATCGCTCCCTTCTGCGCAGGAGGAATGCCTTGTACAACATCTTCCTGTTCCAGCCCAGGAAGCTGCCCCTTGGAGAAACAGTAACTCATCACATGACTAGCAGCGCTTCTTGCTCTAGTACTGATGAAGACAAGACTGGATGTGGTCAATGCCAAGATCCGGGCTTCGGGGTTCATCTGTGGTTGGGGCTTCGGCGACCATGCGCGGTGGGAGGGCCGTTCATGCCTTCCAATGTCTCAGAGGCCAACTCCAGCAGAGAGTTTTGTGGAACACTTCAGAGCTACAAAGCTGAAGGAGTAAGAGAAGCTAGGCCAGGCAGGGGAGCAGTGGAAACATAACGGCATAACGTAGCGGACACGAAGAACAGATAGTCTGAAGAAGCTGAACCAAATGGCACATAGCAAGATGTCCAGGACTAACTTACGCCCTTCTGCACTAAGGACGCCCATGACTCGCGACCGTGTGAAGGCTGGCTGTGGTGCGGACCACTCTTCTCGGCCCTCTTGCGTCGCGAAGATTGATGGGGGCGGTGGCTTTGTCTTGATTGGCAAACGGCCTCCTGCACTGCAGTCGATGATCCCGAACCGTGAGACGCGTCGAAAGCAAATGCGGGGCTCTTACCGCTGTTGGTGGTAAGTGATCTAAGTCCAAGCATGAAACATAGAATCTGCAGACAGTGGTATGCCCTGCAGCGCTTTGGGCTTCGTCCCGCATTCCACCGCGTGCCCCATTGCACGTCAAACTGAAAAGTTCTTTGCAGAGAAGCTGTGGCAAGCGTGACATGTGCTGCATGAGCCCGGAACCCCTTCTGGATCCGCACTGTTGCCCGAGGGAGGAGTTCAAGAAGACGGATGCATATCAGCTGGAGAAGGAAGCTCGAGGCATCCGCCACTAGCCATCGTCTTGAGCACCTTGAGCGTCATTTCGATTCGAGTGGTTCCTAGGAACCCGAAAATTCACATTGACTGTCACAAAAGACCAGGCCTTGTCCAAGAGAAGGGCGCCGCGGCGCGCAGCATGAATCTGGCCAGGCTGGTTGCCCGGAACCAGTCTCGGCGCGGCCGTCAAGAGCACCAAATAGAGTTAGCTTGAGTGTAAACCCTTCTTGGAGAGAGTCGACATGAAGCGACTCTAGCCATTCCGGCAGGCTTTCGCTGAACATTCGCCAAGTCCTTGAAGCCCGGGAAGGCACGGGGCTCTTGCAGCCACACGGTCCGTTTGAATGGGTGAGAAACCCCAAGGCTTGGGTGAGCTTGCATTGGCATCTTTCTCCGAGCTGAAGGAGCGCTTTTGTCATCTTGTGCCTAGATGCCCGGAGGACAGAGAAGTGGGACACGCAGACACTCGCAAGAATTTCTTGTGCAGACAAGGGATGCAAGGAGGCCTCTTTCGGGGAACGCAAGCATTTAGATCCGCAGGCAACAGACTTCGCGCAACTGGGATGCCCTTGAGGCTAAGAGCATGCGCCTCAAGCACGCTCGGATACAGGTCGATCGCAGGCATCCGCTCCTTCCTCTGAGTTCCTGCCTCTCTTCGCTTGGATATGATGGGTATTCAGCGGTGGCTGGGTCAATAAGATGTCTCCACCACTGCTGCTTGGCTGGCCTTGCCAACGCCACGATCCGCACAGTCTTTTCTACTCTAGGACACGACTTCCCCGAAGCTGCGAAAGCTCAGTAGAAACCTACCACTATGCTTAAGTCGCAGGAAACCTTCGCACGTGCCGGCCTTCTCATGCTCGGAGATCAGCTCATGTGGGCGCAGGCAAGACGTTCTGACTTGTGGGAGAGGGAGAGCGAAAGCACATCGCAGGCTTGCAGCGAGTTTGAGCTGCTCGAGGACGCAAGAGCCTCAGCTCGGCCGGCGTCAGCGGCCTTCGAAAAGTTCTCGTCGCTTGCCGCTGAGGAGCTCGAGGGTGAAATTTACATCGGCCTCGTTGGTCCGAGACTCGAGAATCCCACGCCTCTCCACGCGCCTCGGCCGCCTCCTTTCTCGCTCCAACGGAGGCCGTGCTGAGCCACAGAAGGCCCAGGCACCCACAGCGCCGAACGCACAGAGCGCAGAGGAGCGGAACCCCGGCTGGGAGGGAAGCTGACAGCTGCGCCTGTGCCTTTCAAGCAGGAGATGGAGCTCTTCGAGGAGAGACAGCGTGAGGCGGAATTTTGGGGAGTAGGTGAGGTGTTCATGAAGTTTTGTTTCAGAGGCTCAGAAGCTCTTCGAGGGTGCGCAACAAGATCCGAACTTCATGCAGAGCCCGGGCCTCGAAGCCTCTTGGAGCTTCAGCTTCGAACTCTCGGGATTCTCTTCCGACACCTCGGACCGGCGCTTTTGCTTCGCTTCTTTTGGGGAAAAAAGACGCCTCCGTGCTCAGCTCTGGCGGCCTTCGCCGACCGTCCTGAGCTCTTCCTGAAAGAGCTGAAGGCGCACTCGAACGGCAGAGGTAAAGTTCGCAGCTTTCTTACGAAAGCCTTCGCTGCCAGGCTGCCTCTCAAGAACAAGGCAGGATGTACTGAGCTGTTTCGAGCAAACTTTACCGCCGGGCCCGGCGATCAAACTGTGGGTTTTGTCTTGTTCCAGCAAGTCGGGGATCCCGGCAGTATCTAGGCAATCAGCAGGTAGCAGATTTTTTTAGCGAGTTTCTGGGCACCTGCACTTCCAAGGAGGTTGCACTGAAAGGTGTGAGAGAGAAACCGGACCATCGATGGACTCCAGGATGCGAGGAGTATACTACTACATTCTGACGGGCGAAGGACAGATACGCGTGCAAACGTCGCAGTCCTGAGAAGCAGGAAAGATCGAGCCACCAGTCAGATACGATCAGTTTGTCTCAGCTCGTCCAATGTAGTTTCGGGGACTCGTCGTGCATCCATGTTTCTGTCCAACTGTTGCTCCTTCGACTTGTTGGGGGAATGAGCTTGGAATAGAAATGTGGGTCTCTCGACGTGCCAGGCTGGACCCGGGAAGACGTGCAGAAGATGAAGGCTGGATTTCTGCTCATGTCTGGTTGAGGTCCATGGGTCGAGTCCAAATAGTCGGGCTAGCAGCTGATCGGATTGCCTTGGCTCCCTCCCCCTCCATCACGACCGCCCCGCGGCGGGAGGAGACCTATGCCATGATGGGAATCAACGTCGAGATCATGCTTGGGCCTCGGACTGCGCAAGGGCAAAATCTACCGGAGGTGATGTCTGGACTCGGCCAAGGCTCCAGGAGATGAAGGCTTCGGCCGAGCAGCTGCCACCAGCTCCGTGGCAAAGACTTCGAAAACCGGAAAGCATGAGATTTCGTGGCTTGAAGTTAAGCCGGGGCTAGCCCCAGCAGAGCCGGCAATGGCGTAATTGTATGGGAAAGGGCTTGGCAGATTAGGAGATTGAACTGGGGCTCAGCACTCGCCGAAGCTCGAGTGGTGCACATGCGCGGAGTGCGAACGTCGGTCTGGTTCTCCCCTCTCAGGCTCAGAGAGAGCTTATCGACTACATGCAGTCTCCCCGGCAAGTTGAACGCTTGGATCGGTGGCTTGTGGCAGCCGCCGACTAGGTGCACGACCCGCATCCCTGGAACCATTTCGGCCAGGCAGCTCCTGCAGGACCCAGATGCCGTTCTGGCCGCTGCAAAGCAGGAGGCCGGCATTGCAAAGCCATAGCAATGCAAACCTTTTTCTGACAGAATTCACCAAGCCCGGTCTACTTGTGCCCACATCCATGAAGCAAGTGCTATCAATCATGCCTGCACCGGTTTCGTCTTTAAGGCCGAAGTGGCATCTGAGGAGAAGGTGGATGCGTGAAGCGTTTCGAAAACAGCTGTTGACGCTTTCCACAGAAGATGGATTTCAGCGCCTCACCTGAAACTTCACGTAGGTAAACATGACAGAGACAATCCTTATGCCGCATGCCTGTTTGCCGCCGTTCCAAGCCAGGACAACCACCATAGCCGACGGAACCACAACCCTGCGACTGTACCTGCAGGACCTGGCATAGGTACCATCCACTGCTTAAGTCTCTCGCGGCGCAGATCCGAACAGAAAGCTTCGTCACCTGGTCTCGAGGCAGCGACAGGATTTCATTCGAAGAGATGCTCGACAATGATGTGTAGTTACGCAATGCCTTAGTCTGCAAAGCTCAGCTGGCGCCTTGCCATGGAAGCTGTTCGCCGGGCAGCCGCGCAGATTTGCCGCAGGCCGTGAGAGCGAGTGCGGGCTAACACGCTAACCTCTTTGCCTGCCGTAAGGACAGCAGGTGTAGTCAAGGCCTACTGCGATGGCATCAATACTTCAAGCATTGCAAAGGGAAAGGGGGAGGAGGTTCCTCTGAAGACAGCCGTCACGTTGCGTGAGCCCATCGCCCTTAGCTTTCACTGACCCGCAAATGCAGTCTTTGTTCGGCCAGCATGACCGATTCGTTGTTGGGCTGTTGTCGTGCCTAGCGAGCACTTGCAGCGCACAACCCAGCACGACATCCACTTTGGACGGTTGTGTTCGCGAAGTTTTTTGGCTTGAGATGACCGCTGTAGGCTAGGGTAGGTAGCGCCATGCCGGGGCCCTGGTTCCTTTGCAGGGAGGACCAGGGCGCATGGAGAGCCCCAACAGCCGCGTGAGGAGAATATTTATTGAGCTTAGGCTCCTCGACAATGGGCGGCACCCGAAGGGCATAGCCTGCGTGCGGGTCGAGGAGCGCGAAGACCAAGCACGTTATGGGGAATTGGTCAAGGCCACCATAATGGCGGTCTCGGGAAGGCATGGAAGGCTACCTCCTTTGGTGGCTTGACGAGGTCAGCCTCCTCGCTAGCCATCCTTGAGCCTGTCGGGGCGTAGCATCGCTGCTTGCCCTGTCGACTTTAGGGCGAGCTGGCGGTCGACCATCACCGAGACTGCCCTCTGTGAGAAGGAGCTCCGCGGAACTGAGCGTTGAGCCAGTTGTCATCGTGGAGAGCGGCCTCGACGGTCTTCACCCGCGCCTCTCCCCTCCACCATCAGATCCAACTTCCTGAGCTGCCGCGCTCTCATCTTTTGCCGGAGCTCCGCCGCCAGGATCGTCAGCAAGTAGCTTGGGCCCACCGGAGGGCCCGATCGCTCTTGCCTGCCAAGTTTATCGCCCTTGCGAACAGCGTTCGCATCTTCTGCCGAACTCGAGCCCTTCTTCTCAGCCGCCTGTTCAAGCCAGGCGGGCTGCTTTTCAGCTTCTTCCGAGCTTTAAGGGGGTGCTCGGAATAGACTCCAGGTCGAACTCGACCTCTCGGGGTGCCCTTTCGAGAGGCCTACTAGCTCTGCTCTGCAGGGCCTTCGCCCCCTCAACCTCGACGTTTTCTTCGGCCTGGAAGGGGTGCTCTTATGGCCTTGGGCGAGGGGGTGTCACCTTTTCACGGGCTAACCCACTTTGAAGCGACAATGCCCATGGGAAGGTGGGCAGACCGACCTGGATGCAGCCCGTGCACTGCTGGTGCAGCTTGTTTCCTCCCTCACACGCCTCCCTTTCTTTGTGCAGCAATGCAGCCATTTCATGCGCACGGTGTGGAACAAAGCGCAGTGCTGGACGAAGAAGCTAACCGCTCCATCGGTTTTCAAATGGGGAACGCTTCCAGATTGGGAGGCGCACCGCGGTGCAGTTTCACTCGTGACCTTCAATCCAGGTCCTTTCCTTTGCTGGGAGCTCGCCGGCCCATGGGGCCCCCCAGATTTTCACCCGTGCTGTGGTCCACGGCGCGCTGATCCAGACCGCTGCCTCGGTCAAAAAAGAGGACATTCGCGGTTCTTTGAGTCCAAGCATCTCTTATGTTTCCCAAGCACTGTATGATCGGGAAATTTGGTTCTTAGCGGAACAGACAACAGTCGAAAGCACTTGCAAACGATGCCTTGCCAGGTTGCCTGGCATTTATGGCCTCGCAGGCTTTATGGTCTGCTGTGTGTGGCCTTGCAGGCCATGCACTTCTGCAACTCCGCTTCAGCCTACCTGGTGAATCCAACCGACACGAAGTCACGAAACGACTGCTTTTCAAAAGGGTCACTCGTCACGCGTCATACCCAGACCTCGTTGGCCGCAGGGCCTGGATGACCCGGGAGCCGCGCCGGGCGCTGATGGGCACCCGGCAGGCCATGCCTTGGCAAAGCTTAAGGAATTCCATCGTTTTTGCTTACAGTCGGGATCCCAAACCATGCCGCACGGAGCGCCCAATTCAATCGAGCTGGAACATGAGGTGTTGCTCTTGGGGCTCGATGGCGTTGGGAAGTCAGCCGCAAGGCCTAAGTTCATGTGCTGTCGAATCGAGGCAGTTGAGAGTTGAGATCACAGGGAGCGGCATTCGGTCTTTTTGACTTTTGTGCCGAGTTCTGGATAAGTTCAATCCTTTCAGCACATCTTTGCCATGGTCGACAGTTGAGCCAGCAACGGACGTTGCCTGCACCTGTTGCCCATTTCAGCGCTTGAGCCGAGTCGAGCCGAGGCTTTCCTCTGGCTCTGCGAAAACCGTCACAGCCAGCGGCTTCCGGCCTGGCTCTCGGCCCTCGCGGAGTGCACACGAAGGGAAGATGAGAGTAGCTCGTGACAGGCTGAGAGGCTGGTGCCGACCATGGGAGTGCAGAAACTGACCAGAGCTGAGGCCGTGTGCTTCGCTCAGCGTACGGAATCCTACCCTTTCTTCACGAACTCCCTTCGAATGTACAGATTTGCCATTCGATGAATCAGGTTGCAGCAGGCGATTGTCGAAGGTCACAGAAATGAAATTTTCGACCTCCTCCAGACTGACTCCAGACTCACACGACCCATCATCGAGAAGCTAAAAAAGCAAGCTGGGCACTATCAACTCTTGGAGCATCGTGGAATCATCACAAACTCGCGGCGTCATGGACTTTGCAAACGAAGCACTGTTTCCTTGGATGCCGGTCTGCTTCCTTCGTGCAGGTCCCGTGCAAGCAGGGGTTCGTCAATCTGGACTTTACTGAGGCCGCGCCTGTTTGTCGCTCCTGAAAGCACTGCACAAAAGCTTCAAAATAGAAGTGTCAGCACATAGGCTGTGCCCCACCCACCATACTCAACCAGGCCAGCCCGATGGATGGAAGCGCAATGTCCTGACTCGGCGCTGCATACGGAATTGAGCACCATGGAGAAGTCTGCAGCTGATCCGTGTCAATTTGCAATCACAAGAGTGCGCATTCATCACTACCAACCTCTCGTGCACTTCAATCTGTGACGAGACGACACTAGCCTTTCGACTACATGCTTATCTCCGCACGGGTACAGACAGCCTTTCCGATCCCGAATTCTGACAGATCGGTGGCAACATGCGGCTGCGGGAATACTGGCAGCACTACCTGCACCTCAGCGTACTTCGGAGAGTCATAGATTCACTTCACCCAGACTCCCTTCGAAGAGGGCGCCAGAAGCTAGGCGACCGTCGCTTAGTTTGGTCGTCTTCTTTGTGGATGCCCGTGTGGAGGAGTGGGAATGTAACCGCGGGTAGTAGAGCATCGCATTTCACTAGGAAGCTTGTGCAGTTGCGCGAAGAGGACGCTTTGGATGCTTTGGGCCGCCTGGCTGGATCTCTGCGGCACAGAACTGAGTCGAAGACGGAGAGACTGAGAGCCATGCCTTTTCGTAGCTTCAAGATCTCGAAGCCAAGGCGGATGGCACCGGAAGCTTCACTGGTGATCGTGTCAGTGAAGAGTAATGTCGAGGCTCATCTGGCTTCGGCCTTGCCTCTACATGTAGGGTTCATGCTACACTGAAGATACCACCGTCATAGACTTGAGCTCATGAGAGACACGATGCAGGAAAGCAAGTGAGTCAGAGCTAGAAAAAATTGAAAGGATGGTATCATTCAATCATCTCCAGAAGATTAGCTGCCACCGTTCGCTTTAAGGTTTTGTTCAATGTTGCATGCTACGACATGGCTTCAGTCGCATCACATGGCACATTGGGCTCGGTCTCAGTCTACCAAGTCGGGCTGCAAATCACTTTTCAGAGCATCCTGCCGCAGGTTCTCAGGGTTTCCATCGCAGCCCTACGTGCAAGATATCCTGAGCTCCCAGAGGCGACACAGTGCAAAAGTTTGCAATTGTTCGATGATGTGTGTTGGAGGGCCTTGCGGAATGCAGACCATCCGTAGCCACGACAAAACCCACCAGGAAGCGCAGGAAACTCGCCTCTGAAGCTCTCTGTCGTAAGGCTCGCCTCGCCACTTCTGGATTGCACTTGGAGGACGGCGCTCGTCCACATGCCAATGCCTTGCTGCAGGACCTCGGGCTATTTTCTCACTGTGCTTTTCATAAAGATCTCCAATAGCGTCATTTTTTCCACCAGAAACCGCAACTTCGGAAGCTCTGCAGCAAGGGCAAACGATGCAGCTTGGCACAGGAGATCGCCGACATTGTCACAGCAGGCGGATGAGGAAAAGAGGTTTACGGAATCTATGCACTCTCATGTGCATGGGCAGCATCACTGATAGAGTGTTGAAATGTCTCTGGTTCCACGACCTACCGAACTGAGCGCATGCCTGCCTACCTACCTACACAAGCATGCGCTTGCATGCACACCTTCATAAAGTGACTTGCATACAGATGCCGCTGTACATGCAAACTGAACCTGCGCAGGTGCTGCCATGCATGCTTTCCGGGCATGCGTGCTTGGCTTCGAAATTGCAAACCATTCCAATCGTGCACTATTGTTCATCCTTTCATTCACTCGCGTGCTGACCCACTCAAATCGTCCGTGCATGCATCGTCAGTCTATTAGCAAAACTTACCTTGGATCCGAGGGAAAAGCTTCGGCCCTAGTCAGTGCATCGGCCCTGTGAGCGATCCGGTACGGTCGCAGTTGGAATCTCTAACGAAGGCCCAAGGACGGAAAGCTCGGCTTGCGTGCTTATGATTGTCTTTGATGCTGAGTTGCCGTGTCAAATTCTAGAAAGCTTTCATCCGCTTCCATGTTCACCGCCCCAATATGGCCTTGTAGATTTGTCTGTGAGCGACGCAGAGTCATCGACTTGCCACATAAGCGCCGTTTTCGAAATCCTTGCCCAGCGTTGTTTGAGTGTTCTGCTCCTGAGACAGCGGGGATCATGTCAAGATGCTCCCACAATGTCACAACATGAATGTCACAAGCACTAACGCTCAGCATAGCAAACCAATTCGGCGGATAAGAGCCACCTATGCTGAGCCAATGAGGCAGTCCTTTCACAGGGCCTGGCCTGGATTCTCTGGGGCGAGGTTGGACACCATTTGATCACAATCCGGGAGTCTCCAAATTCTTAACAGTGGATAGCGCGTTGAGCGCAGAAGGTCTTCCCGGGTTTAAGTTGATCTTTGCCTGCCTGTTCCTGCCGAGCTTTGCTTCCGGTTCAAGATCATGGCCGGCACGTTCACCCAAAATAGATTTGTCCCTTATCTTGACTGACTTGTACATACTTGTACCATACTGGCTGAGCTAAGGCATGCGGATTGCAGCGTAGATGTACGCAATCCAAACTACTGCGTGCTGCAATGCATCAACGTCCCGACTTAGCACATCCGCGACCTTCGCGGTGATGGAAGCTTCGACGTTGCAGGCCCAATGTGTCCTCGCGTCCTCAACTGCAAATCACGTGAGTAGCATCAAGAGTTCGTAACATCCATTCAATCAGGCGCGGGTGCTGGAGAAACTCCAGGCCACAGGACAACCAGCCGCGAGAGGCCTCAGCGTGCATGTGTAAACGTCTTGCGAAGCCACAGCGCACTCGCAATGTTCCGCATTTAGAAATCCGGACGACTAGGAATGACAGATGTCAACCTCTTTTTCCACCGATGTCGCGGCACACGTAAATGAATGCTCCATAGATCTGTTTGAAGTGCTGCACCGGTTTGGAGGGTCCGCTTCCAGCCGGTTGCCCACACAGACGGTTTCAAACCGGAGGAGACAGGCCATGCTTTCATGCGTTTCTGGATGGAGGACTCCAGTTTTTGTTTTCGATTGCTTTGCATTGGTGGTGCGGTATCATCTGCATTCGGCATGTGTCACACCTGTTGCGACCAATCAGACAAGATGGAGCCGTAGTCTGCAAGACTGTCGCAAAGTGCTAGTCAGATCCCGAGTCATTTCACGGCCACTCGAGTTTGGAAGCAGGTCAGCGAGTCTTCATCCAGCGAGGCTGTCGTAAGTATGCTTCCTAGGCGCAATGTCGAAACCCAGCAAAACCAGCGCCTGCTAAAGGATGGCTTTGGTTACAGCAGCAGCGACAGCGAGAGTGACAAGGCGGGGACAAACAAAGCAAAGGCCCTATGACTTGTCCTGGTAGCAGGCTTCGAGTATTCAGAACAGTGCTGCAGTTTGCTTGCTGGCACTGATACATGCCGCACATTTGCTGGACATCGAACTCTGAACACCGATTGGAGGAGTTGCGCCTCGATGTACGTTCTACGCAGGCACGGTGCAGGGTTCGCAGCATCTGTGGAGAAGGGGAGGTCTGTGGGGCAACCTCCAGGTAGACCTCCTGAAGGCAAGCCGCGGCCTTGGAAAGAAAGCAGTTGGCGCTTTCGCGGCTGCAAAAGTTGCGTCGATGGCCTTCGGGATTCAGAAGCTTCCCTCGGTTCGAAGAGGCAGAGCTGCCTGCTTGCAAGCGCCCCTCAGTCCCGCTGGAGTTTGTCTCACTCAAACTCAACCAAAGCCTTTCCACCCAAGCATGGAGAGTCTTCAAGGTCGGATCTGCAGTCGCAGGGATTTGACCAATTGCCTCCGCAAACGGCGTCGGCTGCTGCAGAGCCTTGGACTGACGAAAGGTTTCGGAACCTGAGATAGAGGTTAGCCAATGCAGAGATGCGGTTTTTGTGGCTTCCGGGACACTTCTCCGAGCTGCGTGCTGGCAACAGGAACGACCGGGAGGTGTTTTAAGCCGGCAGCAGAGCCATCACCGCTGTCCGCAGTGTTGGTCGCAGGATCTCGCTGGCCGCTCTGATTGTCACAGTCGCTCGGCGTCATGGCTGTGTCAGCTCATTCTGCGTGACACAAGCCAACTCTGAGAGTCTGAGAGGTGAAAAGCTTGTACTCCGAGATCGGGGTGATCGGCTATTGAGTTTGCCTCGATATGCTGAGGCCTTAAGCTTTGTGGCCTTTGCTGCATACGAACTCGAGCAGACGGAGCAGCTTGGAGGGAGCCTGCCGGAGTCTCGGAAAGGCTGTTCGAAGAGCCGGGCCCCCTACGAAGCGACATTGAAGGGTTGAGCTGGACACAGGCAGCAAGCTGCACCCAGATGGCGGACCGACGATTTGCCGCAGCAGGCGCTGGCATCAAGCAGCAAATGTGCGTTGAGGCGTAGAGCCGAAGATGCTCAAAAGCACCACGTTGCTTCAAGCCTGTTACAGCGACTATTATAGAATGCTACTCATTGGAATCTGGTGACCAAGTAAACTCGCACCAAGTTGGCAATATCTTGTGACTTAAAGTCTGCGTTTGGAAGTCCTTGTCAAGGCATGGCTGGCTGCTGGCTGGGGCCTGCCACCTGTCATGCGGGAATCCCGGCCAGGCTCATCTTTTGGTTCGCGGGTGTTCCCGACGAAAGTTGAATTGCGAGTGGGCGATGCCAGCTGTGCCATGCTGATTTTCGTCCAACAGTTTTGTTATCTTGTTTCAGTTGTCAACTTGGTTTGCCGACAGGTGATGGCCTGCGTTCGAACAATTCCTACCACGCAGCGGAAATCAAAGCGTAAGATGGGGTGCGGGGCATGGTCCTGGTCAGACGAACCAATTGCGACCTTATCCACCTTATCCTCGCAGAGACAGGTGTTTTCGATTCAGATCAAGACATGATATTTGGTGTTTGCAATCGAGTATTGTTTGAACCGTTGTTTGGTTTCTCGCACATAGAGGCCCGCACATTCACGTCTGATCTATCTAGAATTCCATAGTGACGACGCACTGGAGCTCTCGTATATAATGGAGTCTCTCTCGAGTGATGGCAGCTAGCAGCCACAAATTTCGTGTAGAGGTTGACCCTGGTACAACAATAATGTTAGCTCAAATAAAACCCTCCGGTGCCTGACTTCAATTTTTGTATTTAGGACTAGTGAAGACAAGATTACGATAATAATGTCATTTATCTTCAAACTGAGGTATTTAAGAATGAAAATAGTCAATACTTAGAAGCTATGAAGAGCCATAATAAAGAATAAAAATATGGAATTAGATTCTATTTTCGATTAAAGAATTTATTGAAAAATGGATTAATAAATATACGAGAGTTGGAATCACTATTTCTTGACCGTAGATTAAGTATGCACCTTAAGAAAAAAGCTTGAAATTTTGATATAGATTTAGTATTTATTCTAGGATTAGTACGATTGAAAAACGATTATATTATTTATAGACTAATTTTTTTGTAAATTCATTTTATTCTATACGTTATAGTTTAATTAACTTATTTCTGTGGCTTTATAATATATACGAGATTATTATATTTAGATTTATTTTTAAAATTCTCTAATAAAACGGTGTCGTGCTGGTCGCCTCCGTTTTTTTGTGCACGCCCCTGGCCCCTGGAACCTCGTACTCTGGCGCGTTTCCTTTTGAACGCCTCTTGCGTGCCTTTCTCGTGGCACTAAAATTTCGGAAATTTTAGTACCGGGAGCCCTTTTTTCCCGGTACTAAGATTTCC